CAGACAAGCTGTGCAGCTTATTAATTTGAATAACCATAAGATTAAGATTTAATTTAACATCCTCTTTGGGAAAAAAAAACTGAACCCAACTCAAATCAAGATCCAACATAAAAATAAAAAAATTAACCCCTAATCAACACATTACCATTTCATACTTCTGAAAATGCATTCAGTACACAATAAAACTTCGCGTCGATCAATCGTTTCTTAAGGGACCATTCATTGCAAATGGTAGATACGGGAAAACTACGAATGCGGGTGAATATTAAATACCAAATAATGACTTGAAAAAGCATGAAGAAGTAATGAAAATTAATAAAATTACAATAAGAATAGAATATTTTAATTGAAAAAAATTAAGTACTCAACACATAAATATTCACGATGCAAAAGAAAGATGAATAAAAACATTTATTTAAAATATTAGAAAAACTTCTGCAACCATTTCTTTAACTGAAAACACCTCAAATTTCAACATTTTCGTCAACTGATACATAAACAAGAAATGTGACTTCTGTAGCGTTTTTCTCACACTGTAACGAATGCAAATTCTCATTTTCTTCTTCATCATTAGCATCAGAACTCAGGATTTAATACTTTTCTTCTCGAAACAAATTTTTTTTTTTTTTTAAATGTCAGTAGAATTTTTGAACGATCTGTTAGTCTTAAAAAACGATCTAAACTGGCATTATTAACATTATAAGAATAGCATTTGTGACTGGTCCGTTAAAACAAGACGACATAAACGAAAGATGCTGGAATGATCGATCGAGGTTCGGTTGTAATACTTTTTTCACGCTAATTATGTGTAAGTCTTTAAGAAATTAGGGATATTTTCATTTTTACCGCCTTCAGATCCAGGCACTGTACTGCAGTAATCAAACACAACCATAAAAATTTTCATTGGACCATTTAAATCAAATGTTTTTTTCTTTTATTAAAAAAAAAAACGCTTTTTATTACTTCAAATTAATTTACATGCTGTGATGCATTTTCTTCAGCATCACAACATATAAATTAAATTGTTAATGTGGAGCAAGAATAATGTTAAAGTTAATTATAATTAGCCTATTGATTCAACACTGTCAAAAAAATTAGTCAATGTTTTATCAGAATATCAGTACTTTGAACGATAAAATGGTGTAAATCTGTTGCAATTTTAACCAGGTTTTAAATTAAACCAGAATTCTCGCCAAGTTAAATTATAGAATTGCGTAATCAAATTTAGAGAAAAAAAACTATAAAATTGTTCAACTAGGCACTGTATTAAGGTTGCAGAAAATTTGAACGATATTATGGATTAAAAGACTTCATTTCTAAACGTAATTTAAAAAAAATCTGACTAACCACAATATATGGCTGTGTATATAGAAGCAATTTTTAATTAAATAATTATTTGGATTGTTGGTCATAGAAATCAATTCTGTATCAGAGAGCGTAGCCAAATCTTTCAGCAAAAAATAAGCACCTTTTAAGTACACTCTTTAAGCACTAAAAAAATATTTTTAAGCACTATATACATTACCAAATTGCAAAATAGTTTTCCAAGACCAATTTCCCTGATCATGAGAAAATAACTAGTTTCTGACAAAGAACTTTTTTCTTGATTATATTAGCCATTATAAAATGATCGAGAGATTTTTTGGTTCGATATCAGTAGGGTGGAAAATGAAGTCTGAAATTGAGAATATCTTTCAAAATGCAGCAGATTTGCACACGAGAAGGCAATTATCTCGCCGAACCCAGCTCAGTAGACGCACGGACTCGCATGTATTTCATCAAACATGTAAAATTATTGGAGTTTTCATACACTATGGACCTACGTTACGCCAAAATGATTTGTGAAAACGTGGAATAGAACAATGTGAAAAGCACGCTTTTGCATAATACGTGGCGAAAATCGACATGGTAACGAAAAAAAAAAAACTATCATGCTTGAAAAGGGAAAATTAAGCACTTTTTAAAAACACCCAATGAAAAAAACACCCTCAAGGGCTTTTAAATAACGAAAATAGAAAATAAGCACCTTTAAGCACTTTTTAAAAACGCTACGCACCATGTGTATGTTAGAGCAAAATCACAATAAAGTTGATTAAATGTCTTCTCACCAACAAATCATTCATTTCAATAGGCATATAAATGTTAACATTCATAATTTTTTTATCATCCATCATAAAATGTTGTTTCAGTAAGAACTCTTAACTTTTAAACCATTCGACTGATTATTACGATTTTTTTCAATTAAAGTTCATTGCATTTTGAAAGGGTTAAATCCAAAAAATGTTAATAAAAAAAGAAGAAATTATATATTGCTCAGCATAGTCCAAATTTGAGAAAAACTAAAATGTCGACTCACCATTTCATGTGGTCTACATTTTGTAGTGTCTCCTTTTTTAGATCTCGTTTAAATTCACTCGTTAAACTTAAAACATAAGTATCAAAAAATATATATAAATCATATAATATAACAATATGCTTCAGTATAATAAATGATAAAACATAAGTACAATATAGAAAATTCCTACAATGAAAAAAAAAATTTTTTTTTAAATATTTCATTAGATTTTTTTTCGATTCTGCTATACAAAAGTAAGCCATATCTTTTGAAAAGTTTTCAGCTATTTTAATAGCAGTCATCAAACTTGTGTTAAATGGTTTATAAAGGAAAATAAAATAAAAAGTAAGAAAATATGTATTATTTAGTTTCATACAACTAGAGAGATCAAAGTTTCCTCTGAAATGTTTCGAAAAGTTTTTTTATATTGAACTGTATTGCTACATTCTTATAAAGTAAACAATAATAAAAATAAAATAGTATATTTTTTGAATAAAAGTAATGGTTAATAATTTAACTTATTTGTAAAAAATGCAAAATATTTAATTCTATGAAAAAAAATCAAAATATTTTTATGAAACTTTAAACTGTTTACAAAATTACAATAATTTAAAAAATGGTGTTAACACATCGTTGACTGGTAAAGAGTTAGAGTTCAATGAACTTTCATTATCTACTTTAATTTATGAAGCTTAGAGCGATAGAGAATATTCTTAAATTTAATTTCTTTTCATTTAATAGAAATAAAATCTATTGGAGTTCATATTCAGAATGTTTAACTTTACTTCCATATTCAATAACATAATCACAGCCGGTGATATGATATAGTTTCTATAATTGACAATCAACAAAGAATCAAAACTGTGAATAAAAATGAAGAACTTTATTTTGTTCTAGAAAAAAGATAACCAACTTTGTTGGGAAAATAATATTTTCTTAAAAAATTCTTTACACAATTAACTTTATAAATAAAAACAATGGATGGTAGTTTATTTATAACATATTCTACAGACATCATCAATTTTATAGAAATAAAAACAATCATACAAATTTAAGTAACAAATGCGTTCAAACAGAAGAATGATTAGCCTGAATTAATATATATATAACTCAAATTAATTTGTAGCTGAATAACTCTTTAACCCTCTAAGTGTTAGTCTTGAATTTTTGTTAAACTTTTAGATGCAGGCTTTCCAGCATGAAGTAATGGGTAGAAGGAAAATTTTAGTACAATGTTTCACAGGGGATGCAATGTTTAATGGAACATTTCTTAATTTAGTTTAAAATACAGGTCTGATTGCTTTACTGTACTGCAAAATTTTTTTATTAGTAAAGGTAAAAAAACACAAGTAAAAAAAATTTAAAGTGTATGGATGCTATTTCAGAAGAGATTTTTTTTTTTAACCAACTTGTTTTAGAAGTTTGACTATTGAGAAAAAGCAACCAACTTGCAGTTCACAATAAAAAAATTAAACCAAGTAGTTTGTTTCAGAAATGCAGTCAAACTTGTTCACGTCAAGAACATAGGGACCGAGACAATTCATTTATTAACTCATAGTGATTGCTAAACCATAGTTGGTCAAAATTATTGAACTTAAGAGCCACCATTCCTATCATGGATTTTAGATTATATTTTTGATTTTGTTTTTTTTGATATTTTTTGTACTTAAAACACTTATTCCTTTATTCAGAATAGGTGATGGCCTTGCATTTTACATGTTGCGAAAGGTACTGAGAAAAAAAGTAAATATCCACAATCATTATTTTAAATGAAATAAAAGGGAATAAATTTATATTTAGAATGTGCAACACTCATAGAGTGAAATTCAGGAACTCAAATATTTGGACAAAAATATTTATGCAAACACATGAACAACAACAAGTTATTGAACGATTTCCATATTAACAGCCATTATACAGCTGTTGCTGCACTGATTGTATAAAGGCCTGTTTAGACGATCCAATTTCTTGGACAGAGATTGATTGATATTGATGGAAACTTGTTTTGCTTTGAGCTTTGATCGCGTAAACAAACATCCAAGAACTTGGTCAAACTTCTTGAATGATAGTAGAGCATGTTCTACTTTCCATCCAAGTTTTTTCTCCCTTAACCAATCAGCGTCTTAGGTTTTGTGACGTCAACAATCAGGCAGCAAATTATGTCATCTTCTTGTCTGTTTTCATATGTTTTAGTCCAAATAAATTGATCTGTTGTGGTTTATTTGTGTTATTATGATTTTATTTGAATTTATTTAGTAATTTTAAACTTATGTAAGTATTATTTTAAAATGTTGAATATGAACAATGCGCATGCGCAAGTTTTTCTTTCAACGAATCAGCGACATTCCAAGAACTTGGATAGTGTCAATGAATCATCCAATTTCTTGGACAGAGAAATCCGTCCAATTTCTCGGATTCAAGAAATTGGACCGTGTAAACAGGCCTTAAGTCAGGACAAAACCAATACAGGTCAACACACACTGTTGCTCTTTTATGTTTATGTGCAGTGCTCAAAATAAAAAAGTGTTAACTGAACAACTTTTAATCTATTGATTGAGATTTCAATTATTAGAACCCAATCTTAATGGTTTAACTTAAAATTATGTAAATTAATGCAGACAATATTTTAAGTTACAATATTAGACAAAAAAAAGTTTCTTACTCTGAATAAACATGCCTTTTACTATCTGGAAAATTTGGTCAGGAGAGTGGTTGAATGTTTAGACTCTTTAAGACTATATTTACTTTTTGAATAATTTCCCACAGTTCAAGAACTTTAAAATTAAAGGACTCCTTTCAAAGGGAATAAAATTTCCAGCAATAGCTAGATACATTTTTCTGATAGTTGTAGCAAAGTAATTTTCAAAATTATAAAATTTTTTTAACTAAATCCAAGTTATGCTTGCAACAACAGAATCAATACAGCTTTTTTACAAAAAATAAGTAACTATTTCACGTTTAAAAAAAATTCTTTTCATACCCATATTAACTCAGATATATACTCTTTATACCCTGATTCTTTAAATTGAGGCTTGCAATAAATAAGTTTCATTTTATACAACAAATTTTTCTAATTTCACATAGCAGTAATAAATTATAATTACAATCAGTTATAATACATGACTCTAACAAAGAATCGGCACAATACTACATAGATTCATAATGTGGCAAGACCTCGCAGGCTTCTAGTAGTATTTCCCCTTTTTGACAACTGTTCAAAACTTCTATATTTGAGTTCTCAAAGCTTAAAGTCTGTTCTGCATTAGAGGTATTAAAATATAATTCATTATTGCAAGGAGACATAATTTCTGGAGCTTCCAAAATTTTAATCAAAATAGGTTCCTCTTCAGAAACATTACAATCTGAATTAATCAAGCTATTCCTGCCTCCTTCCATGCAGACAACAACAGATCCGTTGATAACAGGGTTAGAACTATGAAGAACTTGCTTATTAGATACTTGTGATTCAGTAATATTAATGTCATTAGAATAGATATCGGGTATTGGCTCATTTTCAATTGCTGGTCTTTCCACCCCATCAGGGTTATCAACATTTTCTGCACTTTCACTCATCATAGCTTCAGAAAGTTCCAAGCTTTCATAACGGACTGTTTGAAGTCGAAAACAGCCATCTTCATTTAAGTTGTATCTGAAAAACACAAATTATGGAATGGGAATTATTAATATTGAGAACTATTGAATGAAAATTATTGACAAATCCAATTTTGTTTTGTTTTGAACATGGACAAACATCTCCATTCAGATTGTAATTAAAGCACAAATTACTGAATCAAAATTGGTGAAACTGACAAAGACAGTGACCTTCTTTTAATTTTAATAAGGCTAATTCAAAACATTAAATAAAAATAACAGATAATTTGAATTAATAATAATTTCCATTATATTTTTCATTAACATAATGTTAAAGCTTGTTATTAGTATTAACTTAAATTTTTTTCCATTTTTTTTATTAATTTGAAATTTGATGTAGAGGCAATCTTTTTTTCTTTTTTTTAAAAAATAAAATTTCATTTTCATATGCTTTTCTCTAATAACTATACTTGAATAAAAAATTTTACATATACAACGCTTTTTCTTTTAAAAAAAACTTGAACATGGACAACCATCTTTATTGAGATTTTACCCCAAAACACAAATTATTGACATTAATAATTACAGAGGACTTTATTATAATTTGAATGTAGGTAATTAAAAGCATTGGATAATTTAAACTTACAATAATTCCCATAAAATTTTTCAATCAATACAACTCTGAAAGTTTCTCTTATTATGTATCTTAAATTTTTCCTTAGTTAATTTGAAATAAGATACAGAGACTATTCCAATTTCTTAAGTAAAATTTTATAAGAAGATTTCACTAATCACCATAAATTAGAATAATTAAAGTTTACAAACAGAGTGACCCTTTTTAAAATCTAAAGATAGATAATTCAAAATATTTAACAACTCGAACTCACTATTTACATCATTCCTGTCAGCCACATTGTCAAAATTTGTCACCATTAAATTAAAATTTTTCTATCTGTTTGTATACTTTTCTCGATTCAGTGTTCATATTTTTAACCATTCATTGCAAATTCCTTTTTAAAGACACATTTAAATATAACTGGAATGAGATGCAACCTTTTTCAAACTCTCATAGTTCCAGCACTTTCCATTTAAATTTTTAAGCAATCAATGGATGTGTAAGAAACATAAGTTAAAATATCACTAAATAAATATTGAAACTTTCAAGAACACAATCACAAAATATGAAGCACAAATTAGAAAATAGAATAGAATTGATGGTTAACCAAGTATAAATGAAAGAACTTCCTTGATTCAGAAGAAGCTTATAAAAATTCTGGTGTATACTTTAACTTATGTTTGTTGCGTTTATAAAGTAAAGTGGAACAAATATATAAGTAAAGTGGAACAAACTAGACATTGTTGGATGTTTTATCGTTACGATTAGGATTTAAGTTTTCATTGAATATTACCACCATTCATTTTTTTTAATTAAATGAAAAACAAGAATTTAACTAAAAATAATTTAAAAAAATCAATAAATAAAATTAATAGCTTTCCATCTTTCGTGTGTTGTCATCTATTTTGGATAATTAATTGCTTCACCTCAAATTACCTCTCAATCAGATTATTGTTTTTATACTGGATATCATTCTAAATGTTGAGAAAGTCAGAAACAGAAGAGCAAAAACAAATAATAGTGAAAAATTAGCATTAAAAAAATTATTCAGGATTATGGTTGCAAAAGGAAGAATTGCGATATTCTCAAATGGACATCTACTTTTTCTCATCAAAAATTGATCCTCATAGTAAAAAACTTAAAATAGAGTGGAAACAACATTTTTAATAATGATTTAGGCAATGCCGAAAAGAGATAAATATCATGGTGAAAAGATATAACATAAAAATTATGTTTTCTTTCTGTTGCTATTTAATTACACACAGTAGAGCTTCAGCTTTTGAAGTGAATCGCTGACACTTCAAAAATGCAAAAAATTATTGCTCCAACTCACTTTTAAGTTTTTTATTGTGAAGGTATTTAAAAAAGTTAATTTATATTCACTACATACACATATATTTACTACATATATTCAATTATACATACAACATAGTAAAAAAGAATGTTTTTTTTAACAGCATATAACAACTTACCGAAATCTGCAGTGACCAGAAGGCCAACGGAATTTATGCACACCCAAAAGATGTTTAGTCAGGTAGTTTCCACGAGTAAATATCTTCTCACAGAGATGGCAGGCATATTTCAAAGGACCTTTTTTCTAAAAGAAAAATACCATGAGTAATTTCAAACATGTTTTTGACTGGTTGGTTTTTTCCCTTTAATGTTTCTTTTTTGTAGAATTTTCTACTATTATTCTGTTTCATTTTCCTTTATCTCTTTTATTAATGTTTTAAAAATTATGTTCTTAAAAATGGAATATTTAATTTATTACATATTTTTTTCTATTGAAATAACAATTGAAATAAACCCTAGAATATAAGCATTATCTTTCAAAAGTTTAAAATATTAAATTTTAAACTTAAATGAACTTAGAACCAGTTACAAAATGTTTAAGAAAGTGTGTCAACAAGAAAATCTTTAGATTTCATTCTATTTCTTTAAACAGCCTTAACTTGAGAATTTTTTGAAACTTTTATACACTTCTATATTTTAGAAATATTTCAAGTGCATAAAATCAAAAATAGCATTAAATTAACACAAATATTAAATAATAATTTTACATTAACGTCTACCAAACTAAGAATAAAAAAAAAAACTTAAACATAGTCATATTTGCTAAACTTCTTTGGTATAATTTTTTTTAAACCTTTAATTGGTTTTATATAATTATAACCACTTAACATTATTGATAGCTGAGTCAATGAATGATCTAAGTAATATTTTAGTCAATTTGAGTAAAAGAACTTTAAAGTTTATATCTTGACAGTCAGAAATGAATGCTTTGCCAGATTTTTACTTCTTATTTGCAAACTTCCGACTGGCAAAAACTATAACCTTCATTTCAGCGGATCCCATTCTTTGTGTCTAAATTTGGTATCAGAAGACATGGTTTCTCAAGTTACTTGTTGACTATAAACTGAAATAATAAACTTAGATCACTCATCTATTCTGTCACTCACTGAAATCTTTGGAATTAAAGTCCTTAGCAAAATAAATTAATGCTGCAGAATTAAATAAGACAAAAATTCCCCAAGAAATATCAATTTTTTCAAAAATATCATTTATATCTCCTTAATTATAGCCACCACACCTATTTATAATATAAATTAATTCCAATATTGTAAAGAAAACTTATATCACTGTTCCTTATCAAAAAGAATGTTTTAAAAAGATTCAATCAGAAAGCATGATCAAAGAAAGATAGTTAAAATTTTTACCGAATGCTTTTTTCTACAATGAACACTAAAGCAAGTTTGAGATCTGGTAGCATAGGAGCAGTTTTCGACAGGACATGTATAAGTAGGAACCATACTATGGGATTCGAGATGTTTTCTTAGATCATTTTCTGATTTGCACCTAAACAGAAAAATCCATTCTATAAAAACTACTTTTATTTCATGTTAGATCAATAAAATAATGCACCAAATAAGCAAATTTAGGTTAGTAAACATACACGGTACTTGCTGTTTTGTGAGAATTTAAAATCCCATGCAAGATATTGTCTGCTGTCCAATTTCTCACTGTGAGGAGTATCAAAACTTGAGAAATTTAAAAAAAAATTTGAAAAGTGTATGGACCTAATGCAATGAGGGTGAGATAGCAGGTGCGGTATCTCAATGAAGTAAGTAAAAATGTAACCCATCTCCTTTTTTTGATCATTTCACTACAGCCCAGATCTTGGACTAAATGATATTCATCCTTTCTATCACCTGAAGTCTTTTTTTCTTCTTGTTGGCAAACAGTTTCAGGTCAACAATAGGACCAGATTCATTGTTGCCCAATGGTTGCACTCCCAAGTGGCATCAATCTTTGAAAAGGGTCGGTATCCAAACACTTATGGCCAGTTATAATAAATACTTTCATAATGGTGATACCAGTGTCGAAAAATAGTCTGACCATTGTAGTTCATTATTTCATAAAAGTTAGTTCAAAATGATTTTTTAAATTTTTTTTAATGGAAATACATTCTGGGATCTCTGATAAAACAATTCTTGTGTAACACTGTAGATGCATTGCTTAACTTTCAGAGGTCCAAACTTCCAAAGAAATTTTTTTAAGAAAGATCCAAGCATTGATTTCTTTTAAAAAGATTTAAAAAATCACAAAGGAATTCTTAAAAATGTGTAACTGTTTCGGAACAACTTCAAAAATGTATTTGACAAAGTTTACCTAGGTTCAAAAGCAGTGGTTGTAAAGTCTTTTCTCAGTCTGCTTTTATCACCATAGGAGACTTTTTTCAACAAAAAAATAAATAAATAAAGATTTAATGATAAATTTCTTTGAAATGTTAATAAAGTAAAAAATTAGTCTCCTTCTTTTGGAAAAGTGTAACTTTAATTAAGAGAAACAAAAGGCTTGTAGAGAAACAAAAGGCTTTAATTAAGAGAAACAAAATGCCAGATTTAAGTATAAGTTAGATCGGCTGCAACTTAAGGTCCTCAAATCTAAAATATCTTTTTTAAGCATTACTCAGAGTTGTCTAAAATATGTGGGGCCTTCCGAACCACAATTTTTTTATTGTATTGCATTGCTCGGAGCTGGTCAAAATCTGCAAATCAACAAAAAAAAAATATCTCTCTAATTTCTAGTAAACTGTTTTCTTACTTGCTGCCCTTTCACGCCTTTCTTGGTGTCAAATTTTTAGCACTAATCTCATTTGAAAATGGTAGTGTTTACTAAATTGAAGGGGGTTTTAGATTGGTGTCTTACATCACTTTTAAATCAGTAATAAGACAAATTTAACTACCTACATTAACTTAGAATAAAAACCTATTAAAAGAAACTCAAAGTTGCATGTCTTTTGTATTGTTTTCCCGCAGATCTATATTGAATGCTTTTACCCATTATTTGTTTTTATTCTGTTGGTTCATCAAAAAATATAAATAGGGGAAAATGTCCAGCTCTTTCAATGCTTATTCAGAAATATCCAGCACTGGAAAGCTATACTAGATAACATATAAAGGGCACCACTACCTTCAATAGTTTAGGGCTTCACTAATTTTAAATTCTGCCTTGTGTATGTACAGTTTGTCTCAAACATTTAAGCACACAAATTTTTAAATTACAACAAAAATGAAATGTTATCAAGAAATGTTCATTAATTAAAATTGATTTTATTAATTAATATTGCAATTTTTAAAAATTTTGTTTGAGAGGACTGTTTTGGAGATTAAGCACTTAATGAATTTCTTAATGAAGTGATGTACTTCCAGGAAATCACAAAGACAGTCTAATTATTTCAAATTAAGAAGTCTGACACTCACAAAGTCAATAGCTGCAGAATTCACACAAAAAAAGAAAGTTTTGAAAATTTATAAAATCTTATGAAGATCAAAACATTGTATTTATCAAGTGCTGAAGAAAAAAGATGATTTTACATGAAAACAAAGATGTGAATGACAGTGTGCAATGAGTGTTCCATCAATAGGCGAACTCGGGCACTAGTGTCAAAGCAAAATATGTCAATTCGCCAAATAAAAAACACTATCGGTTTAGCAGTGTCTAAGGACTCGGTCCTAGACGTATTTGAGAATGCATTTTGAAAACACTTTACTGCAAGCCATATCTTAAACTACATCATAAGCTGGCAAGAAGGAACTGGGCAAAAACTCACATGTTGTAAGGTAATAAATGTTTATCTGCCTACCTCCAGGCATAATCGCAGTGACATGGCGACATTGTTGCACAATGTTATAGAGTTCTTGTAGAAAGATTTTTCTTTTTGAAAAGTAAAAAAGTTTAGTTTTCTTTTCTGTAGAAATTTACACATAAAATTTGAATCAAATATTCAGCTAATCACTTTTTGGAGCTCTCAATTTACGCCAATAGTATTGTAAATCGAGATAATGTTTCGATTATTTTTGGCAGTTATTGATATTGATTTTCACATGGTTTTTAAATATCTCAATATATTTAAAACAATATGGAAAATTTGAATCGAATCGTGTATTTGAGTATTTACTTTTTAAGGTAACGATTCTATTGTTTTTTTTTTAGATGTTACTGCTATTGATTTTTCCATAGTTTTTAAATCCGACATTTCTTATACGATATTTATAACATCCGAATTTTGAAACCAAATACGCATTTGAGTAATACCTTTTTGAGGAGTCCATTTCGCGTGATTTCGTCATCGATCTTTTCTTCTTTTTTCCGGCAAGTACTACTACAGATTTCATTATTTCTAATTATTTTTTTATTATGATGATTATTTACAAAATGTGAAGATGGAAATAATTAGTGCGTTTTCTCCCCCAACAAAATTTGAGAATATCACCCATAATATTAGAATAAAAAATCATTTACATGTTTCATTAAAATTTTTTATATATGATAGATATTTCGTAAATACAGCGCTTTTGTTATTTTAAATTAGTAACATACATGTTTTGTTATTATTAAAAGTATCTTGCAGAAAGATACTAGTGCTAAAGAGTTTTGTCGCAGATAGCTTTAAAAATTCTGCCACAGCGGTTATCTGTACTATTTCGTCTACAAATGCATACTAGTTGCTATTACTTAGATTTTTGAAAATTATAAAAACACAATTTTCAACAAATATTATGGTGCAATGTCAGTCCTTAAATTTATTTTACCAATGGACAATTAGGACTTGTATTCATTCAATAATTTTTGATTTACAGTAAAAAATAAATTTATTATCTTTCAGAACAGAACTTGAGGAATTTAAAACTACCTAATTTATAAAAATATTTATTATTCATAAATTAAATCATTCATTTTTAATAATTAAGTAACCCAAAGGGAAAATCTGCTCAATAATGCATGCACAGTATCTAGAGCCACAAGACTCCATACAATAAAAAATAACATCTACAGTACTCAAACATAATCCCAATAAAGTTAATTAAAATTTTCCTGCATTTAACTTATTACATCTGCAGTTACGTCCAGTATAACAGAATCTACATCCAGTGTATGTACAAAAAAAAAAAAAAAAAAACATTTGAAGAAAAAGATACAAAATAATCAAACCTGTAATCACAGTAAGGGCAAGAATGTGGTTTGACTTCGGAATGTCTGTATGACATGTGAACTCTGAGACCAGAAGGAGTAGGGCACGTCATATCACAGTATGGGCATTTGTAATGATTTACTAAAACAGAGTTTTAAAATTAGAGGTGTAATAATAGATTCATGAAGAAAAAAAGCAATTCATTTAATAATAGATCAAATGGCTATATATAGAATATTCCAGATATTCAAGCATCAGCTCTTACAAAACTATATAATTATTCAGCCATTTACAATATTTTCTTATTATTTTACCCCACGGCCTTTGTCGTGACTCTTCAACTCAGCCTGTTGGTGTCCATGCTCTTTATTTCCCACCATGCTTTATTTATAGTCTTTAATTCATTCATAATAATTCTGAGCCATGTCATTTCAGGTTTACCCCTTTTTCGCTAACGTTGGAGTTTGCAGTCCAGTGCCCATTTTATTTTGAATTTTTCCAGCTTTCTGATAGTGTGTCCAATCCATCGCTATTCATGGTTTCTTATTTTTATTTCTATTGGTTTTTATTTACTGATTCTGAAATTCATTGTTGGAAATTTTGTGAAACCATTTTATATTAACAAGTCTTCTGAAACATTTATTGATAAAAGTCTGTAACTAATTTATATTTGTTTTCAGGTTGTACGGGGTTTCTGATCCGTATATTAGTACCGATTTAACATTTGAGTTGAATATTCTTATTTTTGTTTCATTTGATATAATTCTGCATGCCCAAAATTTATTTAGAATTGCAAAAGCACTGTGTGATTTATTCAACCTGTTGGCTATATCTTGATCTGCACCTCCTCTGTCACTTATAATTGATACAAAGTAGGTAAAACTGTGATTAACTTCTTTAATTAGATAGTTTTTGAGATATATGTTGCTATTCTGCTTTGAGAAATTTTTCATAATCTTTGTTTTTTCTTTGTTAATCTTTAATTCACATCTTTTTGCAGTAGTAAAAAAGTTATTTGTACTGGTTTGCATATGTTGTATGTTGCTTGTTAGATGGCAGAGATCGTCTGTAAAATTCAAATCGCGGAGATATACTGTTCGTGACCATCATTTTCAATATAATAACATAAAATAATTGAAAATAGAAACTGTCAACATACCAAAATTTTCAAATGATAAGTCACAGTGCAGCAAACTAATATAAATTTTTTAATGCATTTTCTTATGTGATCTCTATTGTATTTTCCTTTTCCCAAAAGTACTAATTAGGAAAAAAAAATTTAACATTAATTTCATAAACAAAAAAATTTTATAAATTTATTATTATTATTTTTTGGTGGAAACTAAAAGCTAGATAAAATAGGAACATACAGTCAAACTTCATACTGCAAAATTTCACAGGAACACCCTATTTACTGCAAAGCATATAAATTATTTTAAAAAAATTAACAGTACCTTTCCAAAAAAAAAAGAAGCAATTATTTTGTTTTTGTTGGTGGAAATGGAAAATTCAATAAAATAGGAGAATATAGTAAAAGTTGCACTTATAAATGAAACTTTATTAACACTAAAAGAAGCAGTATTAATTGGAAATATGCAGCAATAACATATAAATGTAAAATACACATAGATCAGAAACATAATAATGGCATACTACTGCTGTAACAATAAATTATATATAAAAAAATTGGCAAAGAAAAATAACATTATTTTACCATGGTGTCTCATGTGATCTCGAAGCAGCCGTTCCGATGAGAGCTTTCTACAACAATATTCACAAACATAAGAGTCTTCAGCTTCATCTGAAAACACAAGTAAATTTTTACAGAATAAGAATGCATATGATATAAGTAATCCTACAAAACTGAAGCATTGAACTATACTTGATTAAAAAAACTCATTGGCTTTGAAAAAATATTGAAATGGTAATAAAAGTCTATATGTTTCAAGGGCTAAAAAAAAGACAACCATTCTCAAGAATTGTCAGACATTAATGAAAGAAAGAAATAGATTCGGAACACTAAACATAAAGTTGCCAATGAAAAATGGAAAAATAAAGGAACACCTTATTTACACAAGAGTGAAAAAAGGCATCAGACGTCATAAGCCTAATAAAATGGCTTGTCAAATTTACACCATTTCATTTCTCATGATTAAGAATCTCAACTTGCAAAAATAGGCAGAAAATAAACACATTACTCAAAGAGCATATCATCACAAGTCTGAATTCCTGCTTGACTTGAATCCATCTTCACCAGGCAATGCTTGCCAAAAAGCGGGCTAGGAGAATTGGAGGTGAAAAATGCAGTTATAGTTCTGCTTCTGATGTCAGGTCTCGTATAAATGGGAAGTAAAGGTGAAAAACAAAACTAGAAAAACCGATGTAGCCAAGAGAGGTGAATCAGGGTAAAATCCATTTCTACACATTCTGGAGGAGTGGTGAGGAAATAATCAGGGTTCTGTTCAGGCCGAATTTACTACCATTTAGCGGTACCTTCACAAATTCAATTTTAGGAAAAATGGTAGTTTCAGAAATTCAACTTTAGGAAAAATGGTAGTTTCACGAATTCAACTTTAGGAAAAACGGTAGCTTCGCAAAATACATAATACAATATACAAAATACTGTAATCCATATACTTGTTTAATATAATTTTTAATTTTTCACAAATTATGTCTAAATTTTCACAAAATAGGTACCTCTCAAAAAAACCTAGACAGATCCCTGATAATGTTGTTCATAGCATTTATATGAATAAACAAGATTCCAGGGCATTGAGATGAGCTGATGTGTCAGAAGTGTAAATGATTTTGGCACAGTCAAATTTGTATTTATTCCTAAGATTATCTACAATCTTGGACTGATCTATCATAATTTATGATGAATATGTCCGTTATTAATAATACAATAAATCATAAATTGCATACATTGTTAGAATCTTAAGCATAAGTTTAATTTTGACAATGTCAAATTTTTTTTCGCCATTGTCACATAAGCACATCGTTATACCCTGGAATCTTATTTCATTTGTATGATTTCTGATTCCCTTGCTGCCAACATGAGTTCTTCATCCCCTTTTGCAGGGCACATGAAAATGCATTTTGTCCAGATGTGCCTCTCTGAGCTACAACAGTTTTTCTGTTTTTTTTCTTCCCTTTTCATTTATTTTTCTGTTTTACTCTTGGCTACAGCAGTTTTTCTAGTTTTGTTACCTTCATTTTTCATTGGCAACTTTACCTTTCATGCTTAAAATCATTTTTGCTTTCCTCATTGTGTCTGGCAAGTCTTGTTAATAGTTGCCTATTTTTGAGTGCTTAAAATATGTTGACTTTCATTACCATCTTCATACTTTTTTTAGGCCAATGAAGCTCAAGCATAACAGTGCATAGACTTTAAAACGCTCAAAAGACTTATTTGTATAAAGAAATATAATAGTTACCAATCGGCATCTGCCTTTGAATATGGTCAAAAAATTTTGTTCTTGACGCAAACATCCCTCCACAAGTGGGGCAAGCAATAAGTTTCTCCTGTGTATGAGATCGTAAATGCTCTTTAACTTTATACTGGTCATTGAATGTCCTGTTACATCCTATACATTAAAATTTAAAAAAAATACTTTAAAGGAACAATAAAACAAAATACAAGCAAACTGTTTAATAATTTGTACAACTACAAGCAGATAATATTTGATGTAACAACATTCTCAAATATGAGCTAGTTTACTGAAACTGATATGATATTAAAACATTGAAAACAGTTGCACGAAATTTGACTTAAACAATTCATAAACTTTTGCTTCAAATGATATTAACAGGGTTGCCACAGTAAAAAATGAACAGAAATAGTTGCTTTTAGTAGCCTCAAGCATGAAAAAGCTAAAACTATGAAAATAGTTGCCTGAACAGGAACAAAAATTTATCAAAAATAGTAGCCAAAAAACTAAAATTGTAGTTTAATTGTTAAATACTATGATTAGGACTGGTTGCCGTCAGAAATTTTAAATCATGATACATCGTCTGTTAGACATCGCGATGTATCGCGATTTAGCATATGTTTAGAAATTACCTATGGGAAATCTATTATTCTATTAATCTATTATTCTGTACTTAATAAATGTAAANATTAACAGGGTTGCCACAGTAAAAAATGAACAAAAATAGTTGCTTTTAGTAGCCTCAAGCATGAAAAAGCTAAAACTATGAAAATAGTTGCCTGAACAGGAACAAAAATGTATCAAAAATAGTAGCCAAAAAACTAAAATTGTAGTTTAATTGTCAAATACTATGATTAGGACTGGTTGCCGTCAGAAATTTTAAATCGTGATACATCGTCTATTAGACATCGCGATTTAGCATATGTTTAGAAATTACCTATGGGAAATCTATTATTCTATAAATCTATTATTCTGTACTTAATAAATGTAAATTTTTTTTTTTTACTTATTTATTATTATTTTCGTTTTTGAAAATAAAATTGACTTAAGATTTTTGTTTAAAAATGACACTGACTATCTAACAAAATATAAAACAAACAAGTATTGAAAGAATTTTAATAAAAATTGAAAAAAAAAAATACTCTAAGTACTAATGTTAAATTATTAAAAAGCGTCAAAACATTACTAAACTCTTTATTTAATTAAAAAAAATATTCTTTTTAACATTCAAATTTTTTTAAAACTTTTGTTTTCAGTTTCTCAAAAATAAAAGCAAATTGAATAAAGGTAAGCTTTTTTTTTATAATTAAAAACAACTGAACATTTATTAGTTTAAAAATATTCAAATTATTATACTTACTTACATTAAATAAATTTGAAAAAACTAACTTTTTATAACAAAGTTAAATACAAAATACCCCTATTAAATTGTATCGCTTGAAATTAAAAACAATAATTGAAAAAAAACCAATGAAGAATCTTTTTCTATTTATATTTTCTTTTCGTTGATTTATTGAGCTCAGAATGAAAATCTAAGATAACAGCGATTGGGCAGCAATTGCAAAGTAACAGTAGGTCTACGAAAAATAAGTATAAGTATAAAAATAACTTCGCTAAGAGTAAAAAAGTCTCCCAATAGTCGCCTATTCCTGAAAATAATTGCTTTTTTAGCTTTTTCAGGCAAAAAAAAAGTCGCCATAGTCGCCTAAGGCCGAAAATAGTAGCAAATAGTCGCATTTTAGTAGTCTGTGGCAACCCTGCATTAACATACGTACGTTAAGAGTTGTACACATAAGAAAAACAAATAAATTACGAGCTTAAGGACATCATAAATACACTATGGAAATAAATCTAGTGACAGCATTATTAAATTACTAGCAATGAAAAATATTACATTCATTTCACATTAAAGCGCAAAAAAAAAAAAAACAAAAAAAAAACATTTAAAGTGAGAAATATATACATGCGTTTATTTCATTTATCTAAACTGGTAACTTTTTAAATGAAGAATTGAATATTAATTTTTTCAAATTTCATTTTTTTAAACTTAAAAACTGGTGACTTTCTTTCAAAAGAAAAAAAGAAAGGGAAAAAAAAAACGGGTATTTTTATTATTTAAAGGAAATATAGTGCATAACAAATAAAATTTCACACAAAATCCTGAGAGGATGAATTCGTCTAATAATTTGCAAAGATGTTATTTATCCTTACAAAACTTTAAACGAATATAATTTTCACATAATTTCACCATATTTTTTAATAAAATTATTTTAGAGATACTTATTTATTTCGAGATATTTGCTACAATATTTCTCTGCTTCAAAGGAGGGGGGAGGGGCTAACAATTTAACACAACAGTACCTATATTGGTATATTAGGTGCCCATTTGTTGTTAATAATACAGTCTAAAAATTTTTTACTACCCTTGTAGTAGATAAGTATCATTTTCTCTAAATGAATACTTTAAAAAAAAAATTTACGAACAGAAAAACATCACTAACCTTCCCATGAACAAATTGCAGGCCCCTTATCACTTTTTTTACTGTCAAACTTTGCATGAGAATCCACATGACGGTAATAATGCTCAGCACATTCATATACTACCTAAAAATAACAAGTTAAAGAAATCGTAAATATGCTCATTTTATATTCATAGAAGCAATTTTAATTAGTCAATTCAATTTATAATTCAGTAACATTTTAAAAAAAATAATAAATCGTAGAAAAGGCCTTTTATTTGAGCACCATTTTTAGAAATTGCTCTTTTTTTTTTTGGTGAAAAGAGCGAAAAATTTCAGCAACATATATTTAGTGTATAAACTTTAAACATAGAGCCATAGTCGCTCAGGAGAAAAGCATTTGCCTCCCAATATAAGGCAAATATAATGGTCGCAACTGATCCAAGGGTGACTAAATGTAATAAAAGAAAAATTAAAAATTTATCAGTCAGTTGCCATCTGATTGATACTCTTTACATCAAAAATGCATCCTATATGAATTTAATATTTTAAACATAAATATGGAGTTATGAATATTTTGAAATCTTCAGAAAATTATTTCGCGTTACACTTCCTTCTAAAAAAAATTTTCATTTTAGAAATAAACCTCGTAATGTTTACCATATTTGAGAAAAGCTTTGAAAGAAATTCCTTACAATACAATCAGTGGTTCTTTTAATCATTTAATCAATATTTGAATAAGTGGCTGCATGTTTTAAAAAGAAGAAACTCTTAAAAATGCTACAGCTAGCCACTGGCCAGTAGCTAAATTTCCAAACTTTGCCCTATTCTTTCCAATAAGATGGCTCCGGTGCTGTACTACAGTGATTGCTGGCCAATGCCAACTCTGTGCTCCTGGCTTCTACTGATAAAATAATAAAACATAAAATATATAAACATACATAACATTAAATATCTTCAGTGGTAGATGCATCATGGGTTAAATCTTCTCGACGTCAAGCTGATTGTGGGAGATTTTTAAGCTTTTTTATCTTCCTGTAACACAAATGAGGGGTTGATTCTATTCAAAAGTCCACAATGAAGGCTTACTTGATCCAGGAGTTCTTTTCTCTTCTTGGTCAAGTTCAAAATTACAAGGCCACATAGTTGAACATTGAAAAGTCATAAACACAAAGATAGGTCAGTTTTTTAACGCTGGTTGCAAAATAAAATAAAACTTTAAAAATGAGCTGTACATTATTAAAACATCTTTATACCCTTATAGCAATTTAAAGACGTAAGAACATTACTGTTGAAAAACTCTCTTATAAAATGTAGCAACTGAATTTAGAAAATTACGAAAGGTTACCATGGTAAACACAAAATTAAAGTAAATATAAGAGCAAAGAAGAACTAGACGTACCTGGAAAACTGTGACTTTTCCAAAATTTACTGAGTAATTTTTGAAATACAATGTGTGCTAGTTTGTAATCTCAGTGGTTAAAGAAATCAGTTTTTATTGTCATAAAATTTTTAACGAAATTTAGATAAAATACTGAAAATTTTTTTGTTATTAGACTATCAATCGCCAAAATATCTTAACCAAAACTTCTTGATTACACAATCAAACTTACTAAAAATGAGATAGATCTTTTAAGTGAGAAAATAAGAAATGTCCTGAATTAATATTTCGTAACAGTTTTCTATGAAATAGACCATTTTCAGGTATCTTACATAACAATATGAGATTCTTGTTTACATTCACTAAAAAGACAAATTATTTTCATCACTCTAAGAAGATGGGGCTTAAAATTCATCAAAATACTAAAGAGTTAGTGTGAAAGTGATAAGGATTTTCTTCCAAATAAAATAAGAGTTGCTTACTGTTTTTAGTTCTCTGTCGAAATTGGTAAATTCCAGAAGTTTTCCTTCAGTTTTCCAAACATTAAAAAATCAATAAAAAAAGAGACTTTAATTTGTAAAACCTTACTAGTATAAAACTTTAATTAAAATACCGTCTCACCCACTGAATAAAGATTTTTAAGGTAAATTAAACATTATACAACTATGCTTCAATTTATCCTATTGCAAACTTATCCTATAGTAAACTTATCTTCGTTATGTCCAATAAAGCTATCTCACTTCATATAAAAATGTAATATTATATTTGTATCACTAGCACAACAGCCCAGGGTGGGGCCTGATCTTCTCCAGAACATTTCTTCATGCAGTTCTGTTTGTTGCAAGATCTTGTTTGTTCAACATCACTTATTTTGAAATCAAATCAATGAGTCTAACCATTTAAATTTTGGACGCTTTCTAGTTATCACATTATATAGCAGGCACTATAATACAATATATACAGTCAATAAAATTCTAAATGTATATATTAATGTCAAATAAATAGAGCTCACATAATAAAAACTTCTGAGTTTTTTCTCTCAATGTGTACTACTGTTTAGAATAGTAAAATTTTCACATTAATTTTATTTTCAAAATTGCACAAGAATTCAATTTCAAAATTACATGAAGAAATAGTGGATTAAATATATTTGTCAAAGAAACAATTTGCAAAATAGGTTATATTTACCAAGCAATCAACCCATCCACAAATCAAGGGATCAGGAAGTTCAGGCACAATGTTGCGGCTATGAATGCTAGCTGAGCAGTTAGGCAATTTTTTCTGCAGTTGAAGATTGAATCCATGGTATTTGATTTTAGTGTGGAATGCATGAAAATAAATGTGTCTTCTGAGCTCTGGTAGAGATTCTGTAAAACCCTCACAATCTTTCCAGTGACAATGTAAGTCCCCTAAAGAGTTTAAATATCAAGTTATGCAGACTTTATTTTCTTTTAAATGGTCTAAAAGTAACAAATACTATGCTGGTTAACAGAGTCAAAATAGAATAATAAAAAAACAAACAATTTAATTAACAAATAAAAAATCCTTAATCTTCAAAAGGATTGAAGGGTCATCATCATTTGTTTATATTTGCCTTATAGTAGTCTTCCCCAACCTTTTTATCACAGCAGACCTGTCAACGTTTGATCATTTTACCACGGCCTGCTGGGGGGACAGACGTTGATTGTTTATATTTTAGATTATTTTGATTTTTTAATTTAATTGTATTTAAACATACCTTCAAAATAAAATACAGTTACACCAAAAAATAAATTTTAAAGTGGTTTAACATTTTAACTTACTAGAACGTTAAATCAATGAGAACCATGAGCTTATTTCTTTGCAATGAGACGGTTCCATCTGGGGGTTATCGGAGACATTGACACCCGAAGTGTGTTGCTTATGTCCAGTTTATTCTGTTGCTTTGTTTTAGTTGCTGTTACAGCAGAAAACCCTTCTTCACACAGATAGGTTGTCGGAAATGGCAATAGGGATTTAAGTGCAGCGCTTTCGTGTTTTATTTATGATATTTACAGTTATGATGATTGACTTTTTTATTAAAACTAACTGAAAGAGAAAATAGTTTCGGTAGTTTTCTTTTCTTTACTTTTTAAAACATTAAAAAATGTATATCACTACTTTCGGGGGCCCCTTTTTTTAAATAAATAAAATTTTAATGGAACACATTCATTTTGGGGTATAAACCTAGGAATTCAAATTCAGTTTCAATGAAATGGGCGGCCCGGTACCATTTGATCCATGGACGGGTACCGGTCCGTGGACCAGGGTTTGGGGAACACTGCTTTAAAGCATCTCCTACAATTTTATTTACGAGATTATTTCTACATATTCAGCTTCATTTACAGCAGTGATGCGTCATAAGAAGCAAGATTCAGAATTGCGTCCAATCTCCTTCTCAGAGAGCCTGCACCATAAAAATCTAAATTTGAAATTGTTCAGGTTTTGTTATTGTGGTCTCAGGCCATAAAGATCTAGATTCATGAGTATGCAGTTTCTGTAATTAATTCTTTATGCATAAAAATGAATGCATTCAATCTCTGACCAATCTATTTAGTATCAGTCACAATATTAGTAATTGGATATAACTTTGATTTTGGATCCAACAACTGAGTAACAGTCACAAGAACCTTATAATATTTGAATCAGATACTTATAAAACTTAATTTAAATCTTAATAGAGGAGAAGAAAAAATAAAAAATAAAACTTCTGCTGTTTTTATTAAATCTAGTTTAGTTGACTTTTTTCTAGTAAGATTTAGTAGAATTATTTTCTATAGTTCCATAAAAATTATATACCAAATAAGGACCATTATTTACTTTTCATAAGTTTTGTATTGTAGCATAAGGATATAAATTAAATGAAAAAAGAATATCAACCAAGTTATTATAAACTTTACTCTGAATATTAAATTTCTTCAATAAATAATAAAAGGAATGATTTAATATATAATGTAAAAATATCGATTAAAAGTGATGTAGGTCACAATAATTATGAGCCATTAAATTAGTTTCAAAAAATAAATTGGAGTACACATAATTACAATGCACCACAGATTAATTCAATAATTGACAATGTGTTAGCTATTCTGGTAATCATAAAATGCAATATTTCTGTTTTTCAATTTAAAACAACTTTATTTCTGAGAAACTTTACCATAATGCACCCATTTTCATATTTTACCACTTTAAACCATTGTAGTTCTTTTAATCGTTAAAATTTTTGTAACATTTTATCCAGTTTTTTAAGAATATTTTTACTTTTTTTTTTTTTACTATATCAGGTCTGACCAGTACTTGAATTGTTTCATTATTCAAACATAAGTTAAAAACTTAGATTCACCCCTGAAACTATAGATTGAGTTACAGATAATATTATTAATTATAACAGAATTACGACTCTAAAAGAAAAATTTTTCATTAAAATAAGGTGTTTTTTTTAAAACTAATATAATACTTTTTGGAGGAAAAAAAAATTTTTTTTTTTTCTTCTTCTTTTCTACTACAATAGCACAGGTTTTTAAAATTTTAGACAAATTTTTTTATAATAAACATAAAAATATCTTTAGTCATTTTTTTATTTTTAACAATAAAATAATTTTGCATCTAAATTTTAAATATTTCTAGATAACAGAAGGGTAAACTTGGAACTTTCTCCCTGTATAATAAGCATTAAAAAATAATAATAATGAGACCATTGCCGTTACTATTATTTCTATATAAAAAAAATGATAATAATTTTTGAGGAAAAGAAATATTTATTTGAATATTCTTTTACAATAAAATACTAGGCAATAGGTTAAAACTGTAACAACTAACACCACATCAATTTTCTTTTTCAATTCAGATTTTATTTATAAATGCATAAAAAATGCCCTTAATAAATATCTTCTTTCTATTATCATAAATCTAATTATCATAAATCTAATTGTCATAAATATTTGACCCAACCACCATTACATTACAATAATGCATCATACAAATTCCTCAATCTAGAATATAATTAAGTCTTACCATCAGTTAGTTTGCTAATGTGTTCTGACACCAAATGTGAAATCAGACTATCAACATCTTCTTCAACTATAAAACATTCTTCAAATTCGCATCTTAGACTTAATGGTTCAACCGCATAGGGTACCGGTTTTCTTTTATCAGCTTTTCCATCCATCATTACTATTTTAAAATAAAAATGATAAAATTTGGAAAAACATAAATTAATTTACTTGTAAATCATAATGTAAAACACTACTGCAGACAGAATAGTGCAAAAGAAAATTATATTTTTAAAGGAAAAAATTTCAAATAAATATGTTTAAGTACTACTATAAGATGGTATTGTGTAAAAATTTCACTGAAAAGGGGAATTTTTTTATGGAATAATAATAAAAGATGTTAGATTAATTTAATTTGAACCTCAATAACTGATTACTGTTACTATGAATTCTACGATTAATAATTTTCTAGGAAAATATTAGGAAATTCCAAGGTTTTTATAAAAAAATTTAAAAAATATAATTTTCCCTGACAGTTGCATGTTCTCTTGAATCTCTAAAATCCTGGAATTATGTAGAAACTTTTTTTTTGAAAATGCAATTATACGAAAAACCATGTACAAAAAAATAGGTTTGCATATCATTTGCATTTATTTATTTATTTTTACCTTATTCAATATAATTTTTTTAAACATAATTATTCTGCTTTGATTTATATCACTGTAAAGGGATGTATTATCTATAGTGCGTTTTTCTGTAAATAGCAATTATAACTTTAATAAGTAATTGAGGTAAACAAATTAAAAGGAAGCTTTTTTCTAGGGCAGAATGTAGCCATATATATATATACTTATATATTTGTGAATTAACATGCATTATAACAATAAAAAAATAAATAGTAAATGTAGTATCCAATCTCAAAAAAATGCAATTTAAAGAGTTACTTTATAAGAAGGAAATGACAGTATTTAAAAATTTTCTAGAGCAACTATATTTTCTTTACCAGTTTTTAATGTTAACAAATACTTCACAAATTTTGAATAAAAATAGAAGTATTTTTTGGCACACAGCTAGCATAAAACAGTCAAATACTTAGCATAGTTTAAAAAAAATTTTCCTTTTAAATACCAAGAGATACTTTAGTATCATAACCTGATAATGCCAACAACTAATGCCAAAAGGCTTTAGTAATAGCAAAAATTAAAAAAAGTGCAATAGAAGTATAAAAAAAACCCTATAAAAAAACATATATGAATGTTTATTCGTAGTTGGCTACAAGTTATACCCTTAGAGTTGGTCCTCCTTCTCCGATGCTTTTTTCAGCTTCTTGTGTACCACTGCCTGTTGTCTCTTATGTTTGGTGACTTTCTTGGCGCAGGTACCTATATAGAAATCTTTCCAAATATCCATAGCTGGCAATAAGTATGGGCAAACAGGGCCCAGAATGCCACTCACTAAGGATGCCAAAATATGGTCAACTGCTTTAAAAATTTCCAGAAGTCAACACTTGCCTTACAAAATTAGATCTAATAAGAGGGCCCTATTTTATGGCTTTGCCTAGGACGTCAAAAAACCTTGTGCCAGCTTTGGAAATAATATTTCCCGATTCTTTTGAATGCAATTTAACCAGTTCTTGTATAATCACTGAGGAATAAAAAAATTATTAATGGCTTACAGGCACGTAACTATTTATAATAAAGGAGATTGCACAGCAGCAGTCGATGGTAATTAACCAATAATATTGTAATTAAAATTTATTTCAGGTGAATAGTCTATCATTAATGCAAGGGGGAGATTTCCGTATCGTGATCTGTGGCAGAATGATTGCAAAGTCTTGGAAACTTCCTGGCAGTGGCCCGCGAGAAACCAAAAAAAAAACATCCCAGAAAGGAACCAACTCGAAAGGTATAACTCGTAGCCTCCCCCAGGCAAATATCTACATGTTTGTTTTTTTTTTAAATTTGCAAGTTTAAAAATCTATTTGACACCTTGGCGATTGTAGTTGGCGCAACAGATAACGATACAGAAATATCCAAAGTGCAAGCTTGTAAAAAAATTTAACAGGAGCATCAGAGACATTTCCGTATCATGATCTGTCACGAAACTACAATCGCCAAGGTACCAAATTGATTTTATACTTTCACATTTTAAACATACACACACAAAAAAAAACATGTAGATGACATGTGATACACCTTTCAAGTTGGTCCCTTTCTGTTTTGTTTCCAGTTTCTCGCGGGTCGTTACCCGCAAGTTGCCAAGGTTATTCTGCCCCAGATCACCATAAGGAAATCTTCCAACAGCATCTAACAATATACCTATAATCAGAAAATTATCATATTTTGTTCACAGATATTTTTATAAAAAAAAGGGAGGGTAAGAAAAGCACTTTATTATTAAATTGAAATAATATTTCTAGCACAAACAATAGAATGCGTTTATACTACTAATTAACTATAGAATTTGTTACTGAGCATTATTGATATAAAATTAGAATTATCGCAACTAGTAAGAATGTAATACCAGAAAGAAATTCTTAAAATTAACTTTGAAAGATAACTTTCAATTTTCACAATTTAGACGTTGTAATCCTACAAAGATATTTTCTAAATTTCACGAAGCATTGAAGTTTCGTTTTGGTTTTCAAAAATTTCGATAAAACTTGAGCTTGAAATGTAAAGTTATAAATAAATAAAAAATTTCTGAGCTCGTAGTGAATACAAGTTACTAAAGCTCCAAATATTAACTCAAATCAACTTTACCAGTTTGCGTCAATAATTTGATGATAAATATACTAAGTAATATTAATATTTAAAATTATTCTATTTTATTCATATTTTAATAGTTATTAAAATATGTTTAATAACACGGTCTAACCATGTGGCAACGAATCGTCATTTCGTAACCGCGCCATGGGAGTGCGAATTTATCGATTTGAAGTCTTTTGTTACCATTTCTTTAGCGAAATTCATTAAAAATAAATAATTTAATTTTAAAGCATCCTTTATAAAATAATTGATGATTTGTTTAGGACCTTAATTCATAGGATAATTTGCTAATACTTCTGAATCTTGCAGAAAAAAGACTTGCAGCATGGGGTAAGCTCATTGCTTGAACCATCGAACAGCTTGTCATTAAATTAAATAGCAATATACTGATAATTTGTGTCTTTGTTATTTAAATAATTTCTTAAATGCGATAGCAAGAAGATAAAAGTTTAATTTTATTAAAACTTTTCCTTGCTTACACACATTGAGTTTTCAGTAGCATATAAAATCAATTTTCTGCCACATTAAACATTGACACTATTAAAAAAAATATGAAATCATATTCAAAAGAAAGGTTTTCATCATATTATACGAAAAGGTGTTAATGCTAGTCATAATTGTCCGACAATTTTGCATTTAATAATCATGCTTTACGCATAGCTAATTAAAATTAAATCAATTTAAAACCTGGTGAGGTTTGTACCGAAAAATTGCAAAAGAATTTGCTAACTTCATAATATATCATTGTTTGTCTTAGTCATTGGTTTTAAACTGTCAACTAATACAACAGATGTGTGACTCAATGGTCATTCAAAATTATGTTGCATGGTAAATTATTTTATTTCGTGGGGTGAAATGAAATATCCTAAAAACTTTATGTGAAAAGAATCTATCAATTTATGTACCATACATATTTCATATTTAATTTAATTTCTTGAACTAACATGTAATTAAATTACCTATTAATAAAGAATCACTCTTTTATAATAGTTAATTAAAAAAAAAACTTACTCCTTCCAAGAATCGTGATTTTGGATTTGCAATATTAGGTCTTAAAGTCGCAGAATATGAACTGCGATATTGGATTTTAAAAATGAAAACTGCAATGTTGAATTTTTAAATCGTGCTAAAATTAAACACTATACATAATTTTAAAATCACGTGAATACGAATCACAATGTGTAGTTCTTTAATCTCGTATAAATGCGAAAGTCATTGTTTGATATGACAACAGAGTCAGTTCGAATTGCAATGATGGAGCTTAAAAACGCTCAAACACGATTTGCGACATTGAATTGTAAACTTGTGTGAATCGCGTGATATTGGGTTTTAAAAATTTGTGAATATGATTTGTAGCTCGCAACTTATAAATCAGGTAAATACAAAAATCATTGTTTTATATTAAAACTGCAAGAATGAGAATCCACAATATTAGCAGATTCCTTTGCAGTTCAGAATATTCAAAATAAAATAATCAAACTAGCAGAAGAATCACATGGGATTCCTTATATATACATAAATCTTGATTGAAATATATTCCCTTGTTAGTGAGCTAATTATAAATGTCTAAAGAAAAAAATGTTTGTTCAAATGGAGTTAATCATTTTTCCAATTAATTAATTCAAGGGTTTAATTAAATTAATATTAAGTACCCGACCAGGGGCCGGGATAGCCTGGTCGGTGAGGCGCTGGGCCCGTGTTCGTGGTTTCGAACCCTGCCGACCGAAGACTCCCCGAGTAGTAAATGGTGACTGATGCAAGTTAAATCTGTCGAGTCGCAAAGTCCATGTTCCCATAACAAATCAATACTTCTGGGGGTACTGGATAGGAGATTGATCGTTCTCTGATTCAGGTCAAAATTACGATCTGTGGATGAATGAATGGATGTATGAATGGGTCCGTCCCGTAAACTGGTGTGACATATGGGTGTGGCAGAAGTCGAATTCTGGNTTTGATATGACAACAGAGTCAGTTCGAATTGCAATGATGGAGCTTAAAAACGCTCAAACACGATTTGCGACATTGAATTGTAAACTTGTGTGAATCGCGTGATATTGGGTTTTAAAAATTTGTGAATATGATTTGTAGCTCGCAACTTATAAATCAGGTAAATACAAAAATCATTGTTTTATATTAAAACTGCAAGAATGAGAATCCACAATATTAGCAGATTCCTTTGCAGTTCAGAATATTCAAAATAAAATAATTAAATTAGCAGAAGAATCACACGGGATTCCTTATATATATATAAATCTTGATTAAAATATATTCCCTAGTTAGTGAGCTAATTATAAATGTTTAAAGAAGAAAATTTTTCCAATTAATTAATTCAAGGGTTTAATTTTAATTACCATTAATATTTAGTACCCGACCAGGGGCTGGGATAGCCTGGTCGGTGAGGCGCTGGGCCCGTGTTCGTGGTCTCGAACCCCGCCGGCCGAAGACTCCCCGAGTAGTAAATGGTGACTGATGCAAGTTAAATCTGTCAAGTTGCGAAGTCCATGTTCCCATAACAAATCAATACTTCTGGGGGTACTGGATCGGAGATTGATCGTTCTCTGATTCAGGTCAAAATTACGATCTGTGGATGTAGGAATGGGTCCGCCCTATAAACGGGTGTGGCAGAAGTCGAATTCTTGGCCATAGATGGCGCCCATCTGCCTTAACAGGCATACGTCAAGAACAGCTATTAGAATAAATTTATTAGTTGCATGTTATTTAAATATGTTATAATAGCTTTAGTATATCTACATTCTAGTCTATGCAGCTCAACATTAATCGAAGGAATAGTTTCAAATTTCTGTCTTATTCATGTAAGACAAAAATGAACTTGGAGTATAGAGGGCTCAAAATCTGTTTTTTTTTTATTTTTTTTATTTGTATGTTTCATGAAGGAGTTAAAATAGGAGTAAATGAAAATTGATTTTACATATAATGAATAAGTTGGGTATTTTTCATTTAGCAGATTTTTTCTGTATTTGTATTTTCAATAATTTAACAATTTAATGGATTGGATAAATTGCAATTTCATACTTTTTTATTTATGATTTTTTTTAAATATTTTCTGTACCAAAATTCAGGTTTTTGTCTGTAATTGTCAAAATAATTCAAGAACATATTTAAATGATATTTTGTAATTTTATATGTATGTTTATTTATAAATAATTCTTACTTATAATAGCTAGTCAGGGGTCTGTCCAGGTCAAATTTACTACCGTTTAGCGGTACCTTCATAAATTCAACTTCAGGAAAAACGGTAGTTCCACGAAATACTTTTTCTTAAAATTTTATTTTTGTATCCTGTAAGAAAGGATAAATCCATATTTTTACCATATTTTTGTGTTGATTTTTTAATATTCACAAATTATGTCTAAATTTTCACAGAATAGGTACCTCTAAGAAAGACCTAGGCAAACCCCTTCTAATGATTAGGTATATTTACACCAAAATTTTGACTCTTGTCAAAAACTTGCCAACCCAGTCCCACATGATTTTAAAATTTCCAATTTTTATTATGGCATACAAATTTTAAATTATTCATTTAAATAATTACTTTTTGACGTGCTGTATTTTTGAATTCATTGTTATTTTACGAAGAAAAAAAATTTGCAATTTATTTGTGCATATTTCTTCATAAATGTAAGTTCTTTTTTTTCCGTCATTTTATCGGTAGTTAGCTCCATGAGACTAAGAAAATGCAAATTTTTAAATTGATCACTATTTCTAATTTATTTCGCTTTAAATTTTTTGTAGGGTAGATGATATTTACGGAAAGAAAACGTTTTCTATTTAAAATTCATCAAACCTCTAATAATTCAAGAAATAGAAATAATATCTGAAGTATAATACCAAATAAATATTGAATCTTATTTTCTACTATAATGACTTTGTTTTAATTTTTGGTTTTTGTTTAAACCCTATAAATTTTCTTTAATTAAAATTTATATTTATTAAAATATGCTTCATGTATTTTTTTAGTTACATTCTGTAAACACTAGTATTTTTACTTTTTATTGATAAAAAAAGGGAAAATTCATATTTATTTTAAATGAAATTTAATAGTTTAAAATATTTAATTTTCTGCATTAATATTACTAAGTTTACTGATATAAGAAATTTAGTGCTTAGAACAGTAATGTTTGTATAAGAATTGTCATAATTGCCTCCAACATGACTAAATATGCATGCAACTCATCATAAATCAACTTGCAAGTGGCCCTTCACTCAAAAAGGTAGTGCACCCCTAAATATGTTCCTATAAAACTAATGTTTGAATGATTAAATGAGCACTTAAATTCGATCAAATTTTGAAAAGTCAATACTTTCAGTAAACTTTTTATTTAATTACAGAGTAACAAAAGACGAGAGGGGCCAAGTAGGTCCCATTCATCTTTTTGCTGTTAAATGCTGATTTTTTTTCTTTTCCAATCTTATTTTAGGAGTAGAAGATCTGAAAGATTTGATCGTGAAAATAGAGAACGTCGAGGAAGAGATGAAAATTATAGTTATAGAGAAGTATGTCTTATAATTTTGATGTGATGTTTGCCTACTATTAAATATTTTTCATGTTTTTAGGAATTGCATGTTTCAAAAATATTTTTCTTTTATATTTTTTGCAAGAGCCCATTAAGTGTCGAATGTAGTTTTTATTTTAGTATACAATACATTTATTTTTCTGGAGTATACATAAAGTTTTTAAAAGAACCTTAGCTGAAAGTTTTTTAATTTTGTAAATTATGTAGTTGACTAAGAATTGTATGTAGTAAACATGTAGTTGACATGAAAATTGAAAAAAAAAATTATATTTTTTAGGGAGAAAATAATAATAATAATAATGATTCTAGTAGGAAGCCTCTTCTACATTTTACTGTGAGTTTTGATTTTATGGTTTTCTTGTTTAAAAAAAAAAGTTTTATGCAAATCTATTGTAAGGTGTTTCTTTTGAGTTATAATGAACTTTCTTTTTTTTTTATTTTTAGACTGACATAAATCCACTTATTTTTTCCGGTCCTATACCTCTTAATTTAAATCAATCATCAACTGGAGGACGAGTAAGTATTCTTTGAGATCATGTTCTCTTTATTGAATATTTTATTTGTTTGTTTTTGAATGAATGGAGTAGAACCCACTTATAACAAGCTCACATTTAGCGATATTCAAGATTTAATGATCAAAATTAACTGTTTTGACTGATGTAATATTAAAAATTTAATAGCATTTACTTTTGTTTAGATTCTTCTTGGGATTAACAAGTGAAATTAAAATAATTTTGGTGAAATAGATTGGTTTCTAATTATGAAAAACTATTAAGAATAAGGAAGTTACACTCAATAAGATTTTAAAATAAAAAAAATCAAATATTTGCGCACACAGTCCAAAAGTAGCTGCAGGCTCACAATATTTTTTGAGTACAGAATGATTTTATTGCATTACAAAAACGTCAAAAAACGTTTAATTATTTAACATATTTATTTATTTCTGACAAAAAAAAGGCAGTATATACATGCACTTTAAAACATAAAGAACATTTTAGAGGAAGATTAATGTAGTTATAATCAAAAATGAAATTAGATAACTCCATTCATATTAACACTAAGCATACAATGACCAGTCAAAAGGCTGGTTATTGTATGCTGTGTTGTAAAGTGTTAGTATATTTAGTGTTGAGTAATTATCATATTAAGAATTAAGTATAATAATAATTTTGCTCTCGTAATTCTTCCTTGCGAAATCCATTTTTAATTTTTCATGTCAAACATGGGCAAATATGTTTCATTTTTATTAACAAACGAAATTAATTTAAAAGATTTCCTTCTGTCACTATAATTATTTATTTTTGTTGTAAAGTAGTAGTCGTGTCCAGTTGTTTGCTTGTACGCTAATTATGGGATCACTAATTTTTGGGCTATATGAGCAGTTTTATCTTTTTAGTAGCAGCACACGTACAACTAAACAACCTTCTACCTTGCACAAATTATGATGATGTTGTCATCTGTTTGTTATTTTATTCCCCCTTCCCCCGCAAAGGCTTTTCTTTTTTTCTTCTTTCTTTTTGTATGGATACTTTTTCTAGTATAACAAAAAAAAAAAATTATATACTAAAAGTATCCGCAAAATTCAAGAATCTCTGTCAATGTATTGCGCACGACATGCCAGTTTAAATTTATTTTGTAACTATGGTCACACAGTACACCATCAATTGTGTAACTATTGTGTAAACTTAAAAGTATTTTGGTACAAAGTAATTGTGAAATATGTTTTGGTATCATTTAGAAATATTTCGTTTATTTTTAAAAGTTGTTTATAATCATACCTTAATATTATTATTATTATTTTTTTTTAAAGTTCAGTGGAGGTAGTTATCGGAGTGATTACAGTCCTGAAAGTTCTAGATCAAGATCAAGGGATAACTATAGTTATGATGATGAAGATAGGCGTCATCGACACAGAGAAAGAGATCGCTATGAAAGAGACTATGATCGTGGACGGGATCGTAGTCGAGAACGGGATAGAGGTCGTGACAGAACAAGAGATCGATCGTATGAAAGAGATGAAGAACGTAGAGATAGAGAAAGGGAAAGAATAGCTCGTGAAAGAGATTGGCGGGAAGAAATACCAAATAACACTTTGATGGTTAGAGGATTAGATGTTAGTGTTACAGAAAATGAAGTGAGTGTAAAATTGTGTTTTTCTGAATTTTCTTAGTTTTAACCATATCTATTATTGATTATATCATTCTTATTCTATTTCATTTTCTTTTTTTATTTGAGTCTTAAATAACTTATTTTGTATAATAACTATTTTCTACAGATTTGATACATGCATTAGAAAATGACCTAATTTACATTAATCAGGGGTCTGTCCAGACATTTTGTGAAAGGTCCGTTTTTCGTGAAATTGTGAAGAAATTACTCACATTCTTTCAACCAGGGTCCGCTTTTATGAATTTGTGCAAATAGGGTCCGTTATTGCAAAAAAAAANATAAAGAGTTGAGGAAAGAAAGAGCAAAAAGGGTATGGAGTCTTAATACATCAGGACACTAATTTACTTCAGGGGCAACAGGGTGGATTCTTTTGACTAAAAGGGCAGCAGGGTGCTGCGCCCTGTTTACCCTGCCTAGAATGAGCTCTGGTAAAATTATAATTAAAAAATTTAATTTTCAAAAATAAACAGCAATTGCTGCATCCAAATTAGAGATGCAACATACAAATATTTGGTATTTAGCCTGTACTGCTGAACGCACAATATTCATTGCGGACGAATAATGGAAGAATCGTCTGCCGAAGACAAAACTTAGTTCGTTTACATCCATCTTTCTTGTTTTCTGCCCTGGAAAGGGTTTATTCGATTAACAAAATAATAATAAAGATAAATAAATTTGTGAAGGGTCCGATTAAAAGAAAAATCATTTTGTGAAGGGTCCGCTTTTAAGTTAAAATATTTTGTGAAGGATCCGTTTTTAAGTTAAAAATATTTTGTGAAGGGTCCGTTTTTATGAAAAAATATTTTGTGAAGGGTCCGTTAACGGACCCAAATTTCTTTTAAACAGACCCCTGCATTAATTAAAGCTTTTCTTTAATTAAGATTTAGAACATTAGCATAATGTTCTTAATTAACATTAAGAACGTTAAATTGAGTTGTTCTGATTAAGAATTATTAAACCCATGCCACTTTTAATAAATTAAAAGTTCAAACTGATTTTCGTGAGCAATTGAATTACTTTCGCAATTCAATAAATTTTGAAGATTTTAGAAAAAATTGATTCACTAATTTTTAATTATAATGTTCTTGTACTTTTGTTTAGTTTTTTGCTTCTACTCACTGTCGGGGTTTTCATACTAACAGGGCTGATTGTGCTCCGGAAAAAATCCGGATTTTTCGCTAACCGTGATCCGGACGTTTCCGGAGATCGAAGGTTCAGACATTTCAAGAAATCCTTGATCACAAAAGTTTCCAGAAATCAAATTTTCAAAGGTGGAACTTAAAAACACAGTTTAATTTATTTGTTTGTAAGGGAGAGCCAGAAAGATACTTTATAGGCTTATATTCAAGATTAATATTCATTTTTTATCAGTAAATAGTTATTATAATCATAAACTCAAGAAAGAGAGACGTATTTGTAAATTTCAATTACTTTTCCAGGTCATCATAGGTATGTGTAAAATTTTAAATATATTTTAAGTGAACTTAGAAATATTGAGAAAAAGGAAAAAACCGTGTTTAAATTTTTTTCGGTTTAAACTTTTCTTTTTTTTTTACTCAAGAAATTTTCCGGAATTTTTACTTGGGCTCACAATCACCCCTGTACTAAGTACTTTGATTTTGAATTTTAGAAAGAGTGGGAGCTCTGCTATTTATTTGTAATTGTTAGGTTACATTTTTTCCTATTCCTAGCCATCTAACTAGTTTTTAGGCTTCTAAAACTATTAAAGCTTGTGTGAAAATTATAATTCTCGTTCTGAATAACTCCTATCGAACTTCAGTGATTCAAAAGTACTAATTGTGAGAAAAGTCTACTATGAGTTATAGAACATTGAAGTTTTACTCAGGTATTAAATATATGTCTATAAAAGATTTAATATCATCTTATTCTAAATTTAGATTCGGGAAGAAGTGCTACGATTTGGTTTGGAACCAAAGGACATCCGTCTCATTCGTGAAAAAGGAACAGGTGAGATATATATGTTTTTTACTTTTTTTTTCCCTTCACTTTTTATGCTGCATGTGTTAATGTATAATGCGTAAGAACTTTATTAAATTCATGTCATTTGAAAAATATGTAGGCCAAGAAATTAAATCAATTTAAATTATTATTGCTACTCTATCTTATTAAATCTTTTATTTTAGAATTTCACTTTAAGTTTGTCATGATTAAAACAGAAGTGAAATAATAATTGTGTATATTATTTTTTCTAATATAATATTGAAGGACACTATATTTGTGTTGAATAACCTTGTGTGGAGAAGAAACCAGATTGTAAGCAGGACAGAATCAGTGTTAAATTGCTAGAAATTCCTGTTTAACCATTCTGAGGATTTCTGTCAGTTTCTTCACTGTAAAGATTTTTACTTTATTTAGAAAAAATTTTAAAATTTATATTTATAATTTTTTACTGTGCATAGAACTAACTTTACAAAGTTTAGATGTAAAGGCATTTAAGTTTGGAATATTTGCCACTTGCACGCTTTGATATTTTATATTCTCCCCCTTTCCCTTTTTTTAGAAGAAAAAAAAATATCTTAGCCTGTTGTTAACTTCATTGTTTGTTTTTTTTCCTTTGTGGATATTGTTATTAGAAAAGATCTTTATAGTGATTACATTTGTAAGGATTGCATCACAATTTACCAACTACTATTTAATTTAATAATTAATACTTTATACTGTGATATAAAGTTGTGTAATTCTGATATTTCTTTGCTTGAAGAGATGTTTTGTACCTCATTTTACTTAGAGTATTTTGCTCTCGTATTTTACGCTTTCTATTAAAATTTCTGTGAACTACATTCTATTACTATGCATTTGTTAAAAAGAAGCGAATATCGATTTTTTTTCTATTTATAGTTTTTTTCCCTTGATATTAGTAATTTATATGAACTCTGCCTTATAACTAAAAAAAATTTATGTCTTTTCATAGTATTCCACATAAATAGTTTTTACTCTATGTAACTATTCTAGGATAAACTTTTACTTTGATAACAATAAGTAATTTTCCCATAACAATTATTTTAGTCAAGGAATTATTTTTTATAGGGTTTAAAATTATTCCTTTTTAAGGAATTTATAAGCATGTTTAATATATTTCTTTTTACTGCTACATATGAGTTGATTAAAGAGTTGAAAAATACATGTTTTCATTAATTTATACATACAAGTTATGAAAGTAATCTTCTATATTCTTTTTAATTTTAATCATGGTGACTTAATCTAGGGACAAAATCAATGAAGGGTGCTAGACTGTAATGTAATTTATTTCACTTGTTATGTGGGAGAAAAAAAAATTTTTTTTTCATTTATCTTTAACTTTATATAAGATTGTGCGAAACAATCCATTTCCTGTAACTGTGTTTATGAGTTAATGAATGTTGATGTTTTATACCACTTTATACATGGTGTTGTAGGTGCCTCTCGCGGCTTTGCTTTTGTGGAGTTTCAGTTACTATCCGAAGCCGTTCGTTGGAAGGAACTTACCAAGGTTTTGTTACTGCTATTTATTTCTCTACATTCTAATAATCTTCTACCAACTTGCCAACTTCATACAGGCTGACCCCTCAAGAAGAAGAAACGCATGGCATTGATGTGTAACTGCAATGACTCAGTTGCAGATATAGTTTTCAACTATTTTTGTGGAACATTAACATTTGTATTGATTAAGGAGTGTTACAAAGACAAAATATATCTTCTTTTTTTTTTACCCAATTTAAGTTTTTGAATAATATTAAACTTTCTTGTGTTACTTTATGGTTTTTAAAAGAAACCTTTTTTTTTTTTTTTTTTTTTTTTAAATTAATCCACCCAATTAAAGCTAAAAAAGCTAAGCTAAAAAAAAATTTTAAGTAAGCTAAAAAAAATTTTTATTTGTCAAAAATAATTTATAGACATTTATTTTGAATTTTTAAATAATCGATAAAAATTATATTTTAATTATAACTATTGAATTAAATTTTTACATCATTATTATTTAATGAAAATTTATTTGAAAGTAATCTTAAGTTTTCCACTCAAACATTTCAAATATATGCCTTTAGTTTACATATAGCATGCAATCAGTCAGATAAAAAATGTAACACTTTCTGCAAACAAAAAACTCTGGTGAAATTTGTTTGAAAACCACAGAATAATTATAATAAATTTTTAAATCCTGAAATTTGAGCAAGAAAAAAATGTATGCTAGAAGCATTTGTCTGAACGTTTTAATAAATATATTAATGCAAAATTTCATTTATTTATTAAATTGTGTAAATACGAATCTCGATGTTTAATTTTTAAGCCACTTGAACATGAATCATAATTACTTTTAAATTGCATGACTACAAAATGTGATATTTGGGATCGAATTTAAACATGAGGCAAAATCTTAAATCGCGTAAATAGTAATCTCATTGTATGATTCTTAATCATGTTAATGTAATTCTAGATCTTGTTTGCATTGGTACGAGAAAAAAAATGTTTTTTTTTTCTTTTTTAGTAATAGTAAAAGCAATTCTGCGATAGTGATAAGTTTTCCATGAACATAGTTCGCGTATTCTTGTATATTATATTATTGTCTTGGTAACTTGTGAAAAAATCTAATTTAGTTTATATTGAGCTCTTTTTGAAAACTTTTCAAATAACTAAATTTTGAAATATACTTTAAGCAAAACTTAAAAGTTTTTATATTTTGTAATTTATTTTTTTTATTATTTTTTTTTTTTTACCTTACTAACTTTGGAAAATCAATTTAAGTTTTACAAGTTTAAAGAATAATTATAATTGTGATATTATTCTAAATTTAAAAAATTTAACTTTTATGAATTTGGTTATATAACAATAAATATTCCAAGAATCGTAATATAAAATCAAATATTTAAAATTCCCAATGAGTATTATAAATTAGATCTTGCAATATATAAACTACATCTATTGTTATAATACAGTGAAACCTCTGTTAAACGGACACTCGTAGGGCCAAAAAAATTGTCCTCTTTAAAATAAAAGGTACAATAATAACAAAGGCTAACACCTTTAATTGTCTGTAGATTGATTGCAGTGATATAGAAATAATTAAATTGTCTATAATAACTATTTACATTAATGTTTATTCAATTTTAACAAAATTATAATATTTACAATACAAAAAAAGGGGATACAATTTAGAAAAAAATAATATTTTGGGCATAAAATACTGTTTCTGTTCGGTTACAGGAGTGTCTGTTTTAGGAGGAAGGTACAGGATGGTTTATTCATAGAAATTTTTTAGAATGCGTGTCAAAAATGAAAAGTGTCCATTTTCTTGGAGAATTTTTAACTTGAGATTTCACTGTAACTGAAATTTTGTAATATGAATTTCATATTATGAAATATAAAATATTTTTCATTGAACATGTTAACTTTTTTTGTAGCATTAAGAGTAAATAAAATAATTATTAATTAATAAAATAGTTATTGATTACATTATAACTAAATAATTTAACTTTTAAGTACTGTGAATGAAAAATAAAGTTTAAATGTATTAAAAAAAATTTCTGAGTTTTAACAAACTTTTTTTTTCTAAATAAATTTTCTAATGTCTTAAATTAATTTAATCAGTTTTGACTAGCTTTTAATGATCTAGTTTTTATCTGTGATCTTTTGACTACTTGAATTTTTAATGTTTGTTAATTGAGTAAAGAGCCTATTAAATTTCAAAATCCTATTTGGAATTTCAGAATAGGATTATTTTAATTCATGAATAGCACTTTTAAAATTTCATAATATAGAAACATTTTTTTTAATTTGTTCCAAGTATTTTATAAACATATCACAGCTTATTTGGATTATTTCATAGCTAAGAATTGTTCAAAATTAACAAACAAGCTGTAACACTCCTTTCTCAAAAGTGTATTTAAATTTTTCTTTCATAAAATGTATATTACTTGTTATAGCCAATATTTGGAAAAAAGAGGTTAATTGAGTAGTTTATAATTTGTTCATGTGCAGAAAATTTATAATTTATAACCTAATAATCAATATAATACAGACAGTATTATTTGCGTAAGCAGAAGATTTCAACTAAAATCTTTGCATTCAATTCAATTTTTCATAATGACGTGAAAATCAACATTTACTAGATCTGATGAAGCTTTCCTTGCACCATTAAAATAAATTTAAGTGTTAAACAATTTCTATTATTAGACATTCTGTGCTTCCCGATTTAAACTAAATTGTTGACTTTTATTAGAATTTAAGCTGTTATAGCCAGCTGATGTTTCATTTGTTTAAAATGTTAAGAGAAAAAGCTGAATATCAGTTTGCTAAATATCAATAAAGTTGGAGTTGCTTTTTGCAACTCCTACTTTAGTAATCAGATGGTTCAAAGTTTTTCCCTAAATATCTTTCTAAAATTTAAGAATAAAATAATAACAAAACCTGATTATGTAACCATTTGTTGGTTTGCTTTTTACATTAAATTTTAATTGTAAATTGTTTCCAATTTGTTTTTTAAAAAAATAATAGTGACTGATTGCACTGATAGCTAATATGATTGCACTAATCACCAACATGGTAGAAAAGGTTAAAATCTTCAATAGCTTTATTTCTACATTATTCCAGTTATAAAACAGTGCGACATGAATATTTTATCACTAAATTGTAAGGAGAATCTAATGTAAAAGTTATAGATAATTAAAAAGCAAAAGCGTAGTGTTAAGATAGATAAAAAAGTTTTTTTTTTTTCAAAAATTTAAATTAATTATTTTGAGTTAAAAATTTTAATTAAATTTCTAATTGTCTTAAAAAATTCTATAACGACAATAGAGTGTGTGAAGTGGTTTTTTTTTCTTTTTTTAATTTTTTTTAAATTTAGTTTTTAATTTTTCCAAATAAGTCTTAAAATTATATTTATATTAATTATTTTATCATAATAATTTTTTTAATTTTCAAATTTTAAACAAAAAGTTAGAAATAGGTGTGGTGCCGCTTCAATTTTTTTTTTTTTTTTTCAATCTAAAAAGCAATTGTGATTAAATATATGAATGTCATAATGGAACTGATTCAGATAATTCACAATGTGTAGTCATCAGCAATAAAGATAATGTTGAAAAATACTGGTTCTGCTGCTTAAAGTGACAACTATGTAATAAAGAAAAATCAGATAAAACAAAACCTAACATTCTTTTAGATCCAAAGATTGGAACTTAACTTAGATTGGAAATTCACTAGATCAAATTTTCAAGCTTTCATTATTAATTAGATATTGTTGGGGAATTTTTTTTTTTGTTTTAACATTTAATTCATCGCTCTTGTAAAAAAAACATGAATGTTGAAATACTCAAAGGGTTTACTTTCTTTAGGTAAACACCGTGTCCTAAGGCTCATTAATGTTTATTTTAGTGTATCACCATATTTTATTTATAACTTAATTAAAGTTAATTACACATTTAGTTAGTAACTTAATATATAACTTAATTTTAATTCATTACTTTTAAAATGTAATTGCACTGCAACTTTGGACCGAATCTCTTTCTACTCTGAAATTAGAATATGCATTAAACTATGAATTTAGTTCTAAATATTGAAATAGTCAGAATTGTTTATTAAATGGTTATAATAAACATTGCTGCCAACTATATTGACTTTTGCCTGTTTCTCCTGATCTACTTAATAAAAATTCTCCTGGTTTTTGTACATTTTTAGAAATTCCTTTAAATTAAGTACATTTCCTAAAAAAATCCCTATTGAAATAAAATTTTGACACAGATTATTACTTGCTTGAATATTTAAATAAGTGTTTATTAATACGTAATGAATTGAGCCTCATTTATAAAAATCAGTTCAAAGCATCTTTGTTTTAAAATTTTTAGTTTATTTTTATTCAAAACTCCCTTTTTAAATTAGTTAAAAATCTTTTAACTATTAATGAATTGTGTATTACTATTCAAAATTATGTGTAAACATAATGTTTAAAATTTCAAGTTCATTTAATGTTAATCATGACCAGAAATATTGCAATTTTTCTATATTGATTATAGAAATCCCTAAAACTCCCCATGTATAAAATATTTAGTACATCTTGCAACAATTATCATGAAATTTATATTTTGTACAATCTACTGAATTTTTTCTACATCCATGTTGGCGAATAAAATTAAATAGATAATATTTAAGGGTTTGTTTAATTTTAATATTTCTAAATTATAAATATGTTCTTTTATATTTATAGTGCTAAAAATGATAAAGCTAATAATTAAAATTAAAAATGGTAAATCTTAGTCATTAAGAACTTTCAGTTATTCTGATTAAAGTGTTGGTCTCGATTTCTTCTAATTGTGGCTTTGCCTGCATAGATACGCATAACATATTCATATTTTTTGGCTGAAAAAAGCAAAGTTGACCCTAGGCTTTACAAAACTGGTCAAGCAAACATTAGAAAACTGTCAAGATCTCTCAGTGACTTTTTTTTTCTAGTTCTTTTAATTTCATTTCTGTTTCGTCAATCACTATAATTTCTTTCATTTTTATTATAGTTATAATGTTAAACTAATTATTTTATTTATTTAATTTACTGTTAAGAATAATTAAGTATCTTGCTGAATTTTATTGAACTAGATAGTATTATAATCTACAATTATAATGGATCATAAATAGTATAAAGTTCTATTGATTATGCTATCATTACTTCTGCTGTGAAAAAATTTATAATGAAAATTGGAAAATGTGATCTAATTTTTATTTTTCCAACTTATCTCAAAATTTTTGTTGGGTTTTGTAATAAAATAAATGCTTAATATTAAAAATTTAAGAAACTTATTGAGAAGGATGAAGTAAAACATATAGTTAAGTTGTTCAATAATCAATCACAGAAAAAAATATTTATTTATTTTGTTGCCTGTTAGTAAAATAATACAAATGCGTCATTTTTGTAAACATAATCACTACTGTTCTGTTAGTTACGATTTAAATATCTAATTTTAAGTTATTTCGGAGCAATCTTATTGTAAAAGGTAGGTCTGTTATTTCTTTTCGTTATTTCTTTACATAGCGTTTTTCATGCTTCTCTGGAGCTATGTAGCTATCAATGTATAGAGGAATCTAGTGCATGTGTGCTTAGGATTCAATTGAGGTTTCGAAGTTATGTCTACATTGGAATATTCATATTGCATGTGGTTTCGTCTGGCCCATTTGATTTTTTTGGATTCGGCTTGCTCCATTGGCACTTCGTGGTTCCCTTACCTTGGTCCTTTAACTCTAAGTGGCTTTCTGAAAAATATATCCATATTGATATCTAATTTTTGTTCTTTTGTTTTTATATGTTATAGGGAACTGTTATATTCCGTGGCAGTAACAGAGCTAGCTTGCACTATAGTATACCTAAAGATTTGCTTGGAGCTGAACGCTACATGTTGAATAAAGCAGATTGGGACTGCCCTAAAGTATGTTTTTTTAAGTTTAATGAACTGTTCATATTATTTTTTAATTGTTATGAAAATATATACTCTGCTTGTTAAATATTGGTAGGGGTTTAGAATTCTTTAGAATAACATATGTACTAGACAGAGTGTGGAAAAAATTTCTTCGTGCATGCCTTGAGTGTACTACAGTTGAGTATCGAATACTCTCTTCATTCCTGCAGACTTTATTTTTCCTTAAGTATTATATAATTTTAGCAGTGTCACAAATGCTATTCTTATAATATTAATAAATAGGAATGACATTTCGGATTCGCGATTTCGGATTTTATTAATTTGAAATTCTAGCTGAAGCCAGTCAATCATTGTTGATTTTTTTATTCACAAATGAGAATAGAAAAAAATTACGAGCATTTCTTTCCCTTCCCATGCGCAAGAAAGGTTCTTCAGAATATAATTCTGCTGAAAAGAAAACATAAGTTTTCTACTTCCTTAATGAAAAATCTTTAAGCGAGAATGTCACCAAGATTCTGCCACGAGGTTGATATAAATATATAGATAGGTTGATATTAATAGCCACGAGGTTGATATAAATATAAGATGAAACTTTAGTCCGCAGTCGATTCAAGAAAGTTATGCAGCGAAACCATAACCATTCCACACATCTGTCAAAAGTCGCTGAAACTTTAAAATAATGTACACTAGGGATACAAAACCTTTTTGAATAAAGGGCCACTAGTACACCTGGTTGACCCATAAAGAACTGCATGTCCAAGTATATAGACATGTTGGTAGCAATTATGATAATTTAATAAGTCAACTTCGTAACATGAAATTGTATTCATCTAAATAATAAAATTCACTGAAAACTGAAAAATACCAAACTGATACTTTTCAAGAGAAAAACTGCATTCTAATAAAAAATAGATTTATCAACAAAAAAAATTTATAATGTGTGGAAATGTACTGGTTTCTTATCACATTACGTAACACGAAAGTTTTTTTAAAAATAAATCAACTGAAATGTTCAGGGATGAAGTAAGAAAGTATTAATTGAGCAATATAAATGCAAAATAAATATTTTAATTTAAGAAATTTTATGGTGTCTGAAATGTTTTAAAATAACACATAATTGCTCAAAATATGATTCAACGTACAGTTTCTCAGTTCACCTTATTTTTCTTTAACAGGGTTCCCACGGTCCTTGAGAGTCCNTATTTATTTTTTTTATCAGTAAATAGTTGCTATGATCATAAACTCAAGAAAGAGACATATTTGTAAATTTTAATTACTTCTCCAGGTCATAATAGGTACGTGTAAATGGTATAGGTATGTGTAAAATTTTAAATGTGTTTTAAGTAAACTAAGAAATATTGAGAAAAAGGGGGGGGGGGAAAACCTTGTTTAAATTTTTTTCAATTTAAGCTGTTTTTTTTTTTTTTTATTTATTTTTTTTAACTCAAGAAATTTTCTGGAATTTTGACTTGGGCTCACAATCACCCCTGTGTACTAGACAAAGTGTTTAAAAAACTTCTTTGTGCATGCTTTGAGTGTACTAGAGTCGAGTATCGAATACTCTCTTCATTCCTGCAAACTTTATTTTTCCTTATGTTATTATATTATTTTAGCAGTGTCACAAATGCTATTCTTATAATATTAATAAATAGGAATGACATTTCGGATTCGCGATTTCGGATTTTATTAATTTGAAATTCTAGCTGAAGCCAGTCAATCATTGTTGATTTTTTTAGTCAAAAATGAGAATAGAAAAAAATTACGAGCATTTCTTTCCCTTCCCATGCATGAGAAAGTTCTTCAGAAAATAATTCTGCAGAAGAAGAAAAAAGAAACAACTTTTGAAAAATTCTGCTGAAAAGAAAACATAAGTTTTCTACTTCCTTAATGGAAAATCTTTAACCGAGAATGTCACCAAGATTCTGCCACGGGGTTGATATAAATGATGAAACTTAAGTCCGCAGTCGATTCAAGAAAGTTATGCAGCGAAACCATAACCATTCCAAACTTCTGCCAAAAGTCGCTGAAGCTTTAAAACAATGTACACTAGGGATTCACAACCTTTTTGAATAAAGGGGCCCCTAGTACACCTGGTTGACCCATAAAGAACTGCTTGTCCAAGTATTTAGACATGCTGGTAGCAATTATGATAATTTAATCAGTCAACTTCATAACATGAAATTGTAGTCATCTAAATAATAAAATTCATTGAAAACTGAAGAATATCAAACTGATACTTTTTAAGAGAAAAACTGCATTCTATTGAAAAATAGATTTATCAACAAAAAAAAAAAAAAATTAATAATAATTATGGGGAAATGCACTGGTTTTTATCACATTACGTAACGCGTAAGTTTTTTAAAAATAAATCAACTGAAATGTTCAGGGATGAAGTAAAAAAATATTAATTGAGCAATGTAAATGCAAAGTAAAAATTTTAATTTAAGAAATTTTATGGTGTCTGAAATGATTTAAAATAACACATAATTGCTCAAAATATGATTCAACGTACAATTTCTCAGTTCACCTTAATAAGGCTCACGGAATAGCGATTATTATATGAAGCGTTTACGCACGATCGATAGTATAGGAACGAAATCGATTAAAAAAAATTTTCAGTCTGAAAAAACCGTCACTGAGGAGAAACCGTCACAGTTGATAACGAGGCACAGTGTATTAAAAATGCTATGGAACCAGTAATTGAAGAGCAAAACAATTCAAGTTTTGTTACAGAAAAAAACGATGCTGTTCCTGAGATAGAGGAAAATGTCGAACTCGAAAGTGAAGTCAATTTCATTGCCGAAGAAATTTCACTTACTGTCAAAGATGTTAGTGAAAAAATACCAAATGTTAATATTCCTGCTGTCAGTAGCAAAAAGCCTGAAAACATCGATAAGGAAAATAAATTAACCAATGTCACAAAGTATGAAAAATTTAAAGAATGGATTTACTATAGTCCTTCAGCTGGAGGGTTTTTATGCAGAGTGTGCTCTGTTGTAAATAATGAAGGACCTTGGATAACTGAAGGGGTAAATTTTCTTGGGCATCCAACTAGATGCATGAAGAAACGTGTGTGTTTTTTATAGTATTGTACTTTTTGTATACATATGTAGTTTTTTTTTTTAGCACTACTAAATTTTCACAAAAATAAAAAAAAATTTCACAAAAATAGGTACTAGGATTGAAAACCTGAATTAAGCCCTGCTTATTTTTCTTTAAGAAAGAATGGGGAAGAAAAAAAACAGGAAATGAGTAGTAATAACTGTAAAAAAAAGTTTAAGTTGACCTTCACCTGGATTGACAATAAAATTAGTAAAAATACAATAAAATTGACACAAATAAAGCATGTCAAAGGTAATCATTAGAATGAAAGATTTGAAATTTGCGAGCCTTTATATTGTATTAAAAATATCAGAAAATCGAACCATAACGGTTGAATACACGATAGAAAAGTCACTCAGGTTAAGGATGAAATTAACAGCAATTAAGATTGATTACTGAGATTAAAAATTAAACAGTTTAATTATTTTTTGAAGATAAATTATCGATTATAAGTTAAATGAGCATGTAAAGCATCTACAAAATGAATGATTATACCTTTACTTAAAAAAATTGCTGCAAAGGTGCTGTGTCCCTTAAGATTAAATCATAGAACATGAAAGCAGTGTACACCCTGGGTATTTATTCATGCTCTTGCCCTAGTTAACAATATCACACTTTAAGTTCCTTTTAACCTTTGAGTTCCTTTTAACCTCTACAATTTCTTTTATTTATACAATTATGATTGTTCTTTAGAAAACATTTTTTAAAACGATAAGAATTTGATAAAAGATTTAAAATTTGATTATTAATTTTTATAATTAATGCTTTTGTAATCATGAATTTATTTTATAATTTTAGTGTGGTATGAGCAACTTTAAGAGAAGAGATTATTGTTTCAAGTGTAATTCAGCTAGAGAAGGTAATTTTCAAGTTTTTTTTTTTTTCAATATAGCCAGCATTTTGACATTTCATTTTTTAAGCTGTATAGCTGATATTGAAAGTTAGGCTGTATTCCATAATATTGATAGCTGTTAATAAAAGTGCTTTTTTATCACGGTGCATAATTAAAGCAGATTACAACCGATTGTTAAAATTTTAATAAAAATTTTTTTTTACTTGCGTTGAATTCAAATATAGTAGCAACTTTTTTCCTAGTACATAAGATTTTTTTTTTTTTAATTTTCGAAATATATTTTTTGAGCATATCATTTGCTTATCTAAAAATACTGTTTTTAAATAAACCAATTAGTTTTATATTTATCTAAATTAAATTTACAGTATCAGAATGGTGATAGATTGTGTTTCATGAAACAGGTTTTCTACAGGGCAGAACTGTCACATGGTGGAATATTTTATATTTTATCCAAAACCTATAAAATTCCTGTAACAAGCCTAAAAAATAACCATTTAAATTTACAGTAACAATAAATAGCAAAAGAGATTTAAAGTAAATAGATATAACATTTATTGCTGAAAATTTCTGCTGCAGAATGGTTAAAGTTTCATAGATTTAAGTTGGAATATCAATATCTTCACAATATTTAAACATGTTAAACCTTCTAGTCTTATTCAATACCTCCTAGATGGAAGAAAGCCGAAGGACGGAAAACGATGACTCATACAGTTANGTAGGGCAGTAGGACGCAAAACGATGACTCATACAGTTAGGCCCAGATTTGCTGATCACTTCTGACGATGNTATTGGGTAATATTATTTTGGAAATCTTCAATTCATTAATTAAACTTTGACGTTTTAGATTCATTCGATTGGCAGCAAGGTGACTGTTACAATGAAATAAGTACTTCTCCATCTAACAGTAAGTAATGTTTTCATTATAATAAGCTTAAATTTGAGAATGATTTTTTATCCGTTAATTTCTATATTAATTAATTAATATTTTTGTTATAAGATCTGAAGTAGGTAAAAATCTTTTCATCTGATAAAACTGCATTGCATTTTGCAAATAGTTTTTGTTTCAAAAAATTATCTTATAAAAAGGTATCTCAGATATTTTAATATGTTTTTGTTTTTAAAAAATTCATTTGAGAGAGAAGCACAATGAAGACATAATGATAAATAAAATGCTTCACCTTGCATTAATTATAAGACACGGTTCTCAGTAGATCACCAGAGTCTAGCAGCTTGTGAGCCGTGGGTGACCTCTGATAAACCTGCAGAGGGTCCAAAAGTGTGCTGTATCGGTCCTCGTTAAACTGTACTGCCGTAAAGTGCTCGACTTTAGGCTACCAAAGTTGCGGAGCCATTCGCTCTCCAGAGGATTAAAATTGTAATGGCATGTTTTCAGTTCATCAAGTTTGTTTTCCAAACCATCGCCAATATCCCATTGTGCAACTGTCGTGCTAGGTAAATAAAGTACTATTATTATACATAAAATAGTGCAACCCCTAACTACTATCTAAAATTTGCATTGAAATTTTAATTTATTTTACTACAATCAAATTGTTTAAAACAACTTACCAAGTTTTTATGGATCTTTGTCTGAATTTCAGTGCTTTTAAGCTATTTGCATAAAAGGTAAGTATTATTATCATGCAAGCAGTGATAGAGCCGAGAAAAAAAATACACATTCCCCACCACATATTTAAATTGCGATCGTCCTGGAAACATGGCATGTCTACACTACACTACACATGACACTACACATTATTTAAATTTTCTCCATACATAAGCAATTTTAATCTGGATTCCTTTACACTCCCCTTGCATAATTTTTATCTCCCACTTTTCAATTTCCCACATCTATAGTTTCTTTTATTTTTTTGAGGAAATTCGTTAATTATTTGTAATTTGGACAAGAGAAAGCAGGGCATTTCATTTTGAAAACATATGCCCCCAAAAAATTTATTGAACAATATTCCGATAATTATTTCATTAAATGATGGGTTTAGCATATTTTGATTGTGTAATGATTCCGCTCCTGCAGATTTCATCTTAAGAAGCTTCTGATTTTATAGTCCAGTGATTTTTTTAGTGGTGGTCACTGTATTTTGAATAAAAATCTTATGTTTCTTACAGCTTTACTATTTGGGAATCTTGATGTCTTGACTACAGAGGGAAGAGTTCTTGCAATGCTTGGACAGTTGACCACTCTCCCCATCAAGAGTTTAAGAGTTGCTAAGGATTCCTTAACAAATACGTCTCGTGGCTATGCCTTTGTTGAATTGAATTCAACCTCTGAAGCTATTCAGTTATATGAACTTCTGCTATCTATGGGAGGGAATTTTTTTGTGGATGGACGACAGGGTAAGTGTTAATGAAAAGCTAAAGTTTATGTTTAAATGAAAATATTTTTATTGTTGTTGATTATTAATTTTCTTAAGCTGTTATTTAGCACAAATTATTGTATGAGACAAAGCTTGGATAAATAAACATTCTTACACATGAAGTTAACTTTTTTCGTTAACTGATATTAAACGATGCAACTTGCTCTGGATACCTTAATTTATGTGCATTAATGGAAAATACTAATTAATATTTAATTTTTTTTAATTACTTCAGAATTTTTTTTATTTATTTTACTCTTTTTTGGGCAATAAATATTTTATTGTTGTGAAAATTCATTCAGTCGTGTTAAAATGTTCAATGATTTTATTTTATTTACAAAACTTTGCATTTATAATTAGTTAAAACAGTTTATCAATGATAATACGCTACTGTATGTCCACCACAAGACAAGCTCTAGAAAATGAACTTGATCGGGCAATCAATCACTGTGCTAGCAGCTTATACGAATTTACTATGGATGTACCAGAAGGCAGATGCTGTCTTCTCATTACTCACTGATGGTAATGTAAAACAGTTGATAAATGATAATACACTACTATATGTCCATCGCAAAACAAGTTTTCGAAAGTAAACATGATGCTACATGTCTATTTTCTAAGGCTATTTTCTTTATAAATGGACTGTAGAATTTCACTATGTGCAGTCTATTGGAAATCTTGTTCAACTGAAACTTAATTGCATAATTAAGAGCAGTTCATTTAACTTCCACTGTAGGATTTATCATATAATCGACAGTCTATCTATAGTGGTGGGCAATGCAACCTCAAAATTTTACGAACTCCAGGAAGAAAGAAAAGCAAAGATGGATTGTATAATCAAAATTATAAGAAAGAAAAATAATAAATAGATTATTTGTTATTGCAAATAATTTAGTCAAGAGAAAAGTTAATTGATGGTTATGACTATCATTTAAGTTAAGTTCTGTTTTACTTAAAACAATAGCTGATAAAAATTGTTGATTGATTTTGACTCTCTATTGAAGTCTCTCTGTCTCAATGTTAAATTAATTTAATTGAATATTCTGTAATGTAATATAAATGTTAATTGGATGTTTTATATAGAAATGGGATGTTTTATATAAAAATAAAGAAATTTTTATCATAAGTTAGATTTGTATTTTTTCTTAATAAACATCAATAAATCACATTTGAACACAATTTCAGAAAGAAAATTTATGCTCTAAAAAATAGAAATGGCAAATTCAATCCTTTTTTTTTTTTCTTCTTTTTTTTTTCAATTTTTCCACTATTTTTTTTAAGGTATGTAACCTAATATAGTTTTAACTTAATGTATGTAAATTTTTATAGTCTTTATGTGTGTAAATATCTATAAACTTTCTCATGGTTTATGATATTTTTTTTATTATAGTTACTGTATCTTATGCAAAAAGGTCTTTAGCATCTCGGAACAGGTAATTGCCATTTCTCACATACGTTTCTGAGATAATAATTTGTTACCTTTTATTTTAAGGTTTCTAGACTTTAAATCAGTGTTAGTTTGTTGATAACCTGCAGGCTAACTATAAATTTAAAGTATGTTTACTTATATTCGTTTATGTTTATATTCGTTTTATTTATGCATAGCTTAACATACTGGCGAATTAGCAAATTTGGGAGAATATTTCTGGGAGACTGAGTTATACACTATTCCTTTATCTATTAACATGGAAAAACTGATTATGCTATGTAGGAAAGACTGCAGCTTAAAATGTGACTTTTTACTTTCAGAACTGTCAGCAGGTTTAGAGAATTACTGATTTTTATAAATAAATGATTAAGTCTGAGTTAAGCATTCTTTGAAGATGCATGATTATAATTTCCCTACTTTGCAAAAGTTTGAATCTAATGAAATATTAGTCATTTAGGATTTTTTAAAAAATATGTATTTAGTTTTAATGGTGTTGAGGATACAGCTGCATATTTAGAATTTGGGCATATTTTTTTTATGTTGTATAACTCAGGGATGAGATTTTTCCTCTTTGGTCACTCGAATTTCAGCCTTTTTTAATAAGTTTTCCACTTTTTCTGAAAATGCAGTTGTTGAAATAAAATTATTATATTTATTTCCGATTTTCAAAGATAAACAAAAAAATTCAAATGACGTAGCTGCCAACCCTTCTGCATTTTTCTCCCTACTGTTTTAAGCACGTTTAAAAAGGTTTTAATTTTATTTTCCTAATAAGGCAATTTTCTTTTCCTTTTACAAAAAAAAAATTGAAACAGACACTTTGTATAATAGTTTATAAATGCTTTGTTTAATAATAAATTTACATATATAAAGATGTAACATTTTTTATCATAAGTTTAATTTTTTTGTTAATTTTACTTTTAGTTCCGGAAATGCTAATGCAGCTAGTGTTGCACTTGCTGCTGCTCAATGGACGAACCAGGTAAGTTTTCATTGCCCTAATTTTTTTCTCAAGTACGAAAGTTATCAAAAAAAAAAAATTTTTTTTCTTCTTCCATTTTATGGATTCAAAATAAACTATTTCAAATGCACATTTCTGTGTTCTAAAATCTCCTTATATTAATAACTTGCAATTATGTTAAATATTACGATATTTATTTAACTAAATTTATGACCTGCCCTAAAATTCCAAGAGTAAATAAATTCCTCTAGGTAAAATAAAGGCATATTAAAAAAAAGGTATTCAGGGTAACAAATAATCAATTCTGTTTTGTGTGCCACTAGATTATCGAAAAAGCCAGGAATTTTATTCAAATATCCAAAAATTTGAGAAAAGGATAGAATATCGGTTGAGGTACCTATAAGTCCACTTTTTTTTTTTCCTTTCTTTTTTTCCAAAAGATTAAAAAATGGTACAAATACTGAAAAAAATTTGTGGTGTTAATATTTTAATTTATTTATAGCAGAGCTTCAAATAGCTTCCCTTTTCCCATAGCCACCAAGAAATAAGGCCATTAAGATCAACAAGTTCTTTTAGTGACATCACAAGCAGTAGTTTTTAACAAAGTAGCCACCAATTTTAAATCTTTGCCATTGAACAATGAACAACAATTGTAAAGGGTAATTATAAAAATGGGTGTAAAGTTTTGGTTTATACAAATTCCCCAAAAATGAGTTTATACAAAAATAAATTCAATTAAGCGTAACATTTATCAAGTAGCAGCTATAGTTTGTCTGTTGTAAGAATTCTCCTCACCACAAAGTCTAAGACTGTCTGCTGCTATAGAAACAAGAATAGCACATTTCAAAGAGGGGAGCTTGGATGATTAGATAGGAAGTTTTCCAGATTGTCTGACTCATTTGTCAGTAAGAGACTTATTTAATCTGATTTAAGGACTTTTTAATTTTGCAATAGTTTCATGGTTGGACATTTTAATGATTTAAGTTTGAAAAAAAGTCTTGTTAATTTTTTTCTTATCAGAAGTAAAATTTACTGAATTTTATCCCTTTCATTTTGAAATGTTCACTGCAGAAAAAGGTGCAGTTCTTCCATTTTTATTTATTTATTTTTATTTTTTTCCCTTTTCTAAAAGTTAACAATTGAAGGTTAAAAATAAACGAAACAAAAACGTAAGATTGTTGAATAAATTCCGGTCCTAATTAAAAATATTCATTCTGAATATATCAAACACTCTTCATTTTTAACAACATGATAGGATATTCTAATGATTTGAGTTTGGTTTGATATTCTAACGATTATTCTAATGATTTAAGTTTGGTTATAAAAGTGATAATTAAACTGGCATCATTTGCTTTATCTTGATTTTTCAACTAATGCTCAGTTTGATCATAAACCACAAATTTTTTATGCATTAGATAGTACACACACCATTTATTTATTTAAATTAATAACAGTAAAACCTTACAATTTAGAAGTTCTCCAAATTTTACATTGCAATTTTGGCTAGTAAATTGATTCTGATTTGTGTGTATTTTAGAAACAAGATGATGGATATGACCAGTATTATGGTGTAACATCTAGTACAGGTAGCTCCACAAATGCTTCTGGTGACAACTCACAAAGTAAGTTTTTTTTAATCTTTATTGCTTGCGAATTTTTATCTTGATTTGTTATGTGATAGGTGAGTAGCTTTGACCCTAAGCACCAATGGCCGTCGCAATCTATTTTAGAAATATTTTCTTTGAACATTTTAAATGTGCGATAGCGAAAAAGAAAATAAAACACTGAAATTTAATTTGATAATGTAATGAAATGCTGCTTGACTAGTTTTATGGTCCTCTGAATTATAAAGAAATTATTTTAATACAATGTGAAGTATACTTATTCATGAACGCTCAAGTCTAATGCTATAGGGTTGGAAATTTATGGTTGTCCATTGATCAGAGGCCTCTGAAATTTGACTCAAACCACCATAAAATAATTCTAAGTGGTCTCTTAAACCAGCAGTCAATGTAACGGGATGGTATACTATTTTTAAAAAAAATTATTACGTAATAGCATATTTTATCATAACTGTGACATTACTCATCTTCTGATTTTTAATTTAAATTCACTTTATAAACTTTTTTTTTTTTTTAAAAAAAAGGTCTAATAAAGATATGTAAATTGACCAGTGTAAATGTGTATGTACTAGAAATTTTTCGAATTGCTGGTTTAGGTTAACTCCAGTTTAGGTTAAGGCTTTCTCAATTTATGCCCTCCATCCAAAGAAGTATGACACTATACTTTGCCAATTATCAACTAAAACTATTCATATCCCGGCTGACTAATACTGTACAATTTTATCACATTAACAATGTTTGGTTATCGACATTTATTGTAATGTGAAATTTATTTTATTTTTTAATATGACTATAATATATTTTATGTTTGAATATAAAATGTATCATATTTGTCTTCAGTGTTATTCCTGAAACTATTATTTAACTTTTAGATCCTAGCATGGAGTCATCAGTACCAAACCAAGTTAGTAGCATTTGCTTTATTAAACAAAATAAGTTAATGTAATATATTTTCTCATTTAATTATAAATTAATATCTTACAGGCACAGATGGCTAGTCTTGGGACAATCATCGTTAATGGTGTTTCATATTACAAATATCCATTACCTGATATATCGACTTATCAGTACGATGAGTCATCTGGCTACTACTATGATTCAGCAACTGGTCTTTATTATGATGCAAATTCGCAGTACTATTATAATTCTGAAACTCAATCATACCTTTATTGGTCTGGTGATCACCAAACTTATTTACCTGTTACTTCTTCAGAAACTACAATAACCTCGCCTCCTACTTCTGCTACTGCTCAAGGTTTTTTTTTTTTTTTTTGATTNTTTTATGTTTTTTTTTTTTTTTTTTTTTAATTATTATTCATTTTTATTGTCCTTTTACTGAAATATATGTAGTTGTTTATAATAATTGCATCAAGAAAATGCAAAGAGCTTTTAGTCTTAAAAACTGGGAAGCGCTAGCAGGAAAAAGGTTAACCTAGAAAAAACTTCTTGAGAAGGCAAAGGCCCACCCTGGTCTGTCAAGTCATTGATGATAATGATGATCTAATTGCAATTGTTTAACATTTTGTCCATACTCGTTTACTTTATGATTAAAAATTCTTTTCCATAACGCAATTTTAAATTTTTTATTAATTTGAAATTGTTACAATGCTTGTCAGTATTTAGTCTATACAAATTTTTGGATGTAACTAAGTTTTTTGTTTCATTAATCAATTAAAATTGGCTATCGAAATTTCAAAACTTCCTGAAGTATTCATTATTGCAGAAATAAATCACGATTGTAAGTTTTTCTAACATTTAAAAATGTAATACAAATTCCAATTTTGTGTTTAAGTTATTCGTTATGATTCATTACATTTAATTAAAAATCTTAAATAAACTGAAAAAATAGCCACCAACACTTCTATATTTTTTTCAGTTTCTTAAGTATGAATTATTTCTTAAAATTGAGAAAGTTCCTTAAAAAATTTCAATCAAAACATTTATTATTCATCTTAGTTTTTGCTCAGGAATTTTAGTTAATGGAATATACTATTAAAAAATGAAGTGTATCATTTAGAATCAGTAATTTTAAACTTTTAATTCAAAAATAATTTCTTTTCCACTGTCCTAAAATTGTTTAACTAAAATGTTTGCTAAACGTTGTTTCTCAACCATTATAAATATTTTTTATACAATTTATTCTGCTTTAAAAAAAATTATGGGTAAAGGCAGAATTTATTCTAAACTGATAAGTTATTATCTTAGAATTTTTTGTGTTATTTAGAATTTTCTGTGCCGCATTCATGTCTTGTGCTTTGTTTACAGCTAATTCAAACAGCACAAGTGGAGAAAATGAGGAAGAAAAAAACAAAAATAAGAAGGAAGAAAAACTTGATAAAGTAAAAATAGCCAAGAAAATAGCAAAGGTATGTTTAATTAAGTATAACTGCACATTTTTTCAATCTTGGTCAACTTAACACTTTTATTTTTAAACTTATTCAATCATTTTATGAAAACTTTGTGTATAGAACGAGCAGTTTTTTTTTTTTTACAAATTTAATTTAAGGTGGCAGTTATAGTTATTTAAAATAATTATAATTAAGATTAAATATAAACTCTCGCTTAATACATTTTTTATTAACAGTTTTTCAGAGGGAAAATAATAATTTAAAGCTATTAAAATTATTATTGGCTTTTTTGCCAAGATTAAAGTACTCCGCAACTTACTGCAATTTTGTAAGGTGCAATAATATTTGTTTGGAAAACAGCTACTCAGATACCTATGATTTAAAACGCTATAGTACGTGACATTTTGCATGGATAATTGCAATTAAAATTTTCAATTTCATCGCTTGTATAGTGTTTTCTAATTATGTTTTTAATGGTTATTGATTTGTAAAATTTTGGTCTCTCATTGAGAATTTTATAATTAAATAAAGAATGTGGATCAAAACGTGGCATGTTAGTTAGCTTATCATTCTAACTTACTGTAGTTTTTCTAATTTTTATTTTAGAAGTAGCTAGTGAATTAGATATCTATGATGTTGAATGCAAGAGTACATCATTTAGGGTCGAATTTCATATGAATAATTACAATTAAAGTTCAATTTCATTATGTGTATAGTATTTTTATGTTTGCGTCTTTATGGTTATTGATTTGTAAAACTTTGGATTCGCATTGTGAATTCTGAAATGCAATTAAAATAAAGAGTGTAAGTGAAATACCTGGCATGTCAGGCCTACTACCATAGGTGCATTAGTTTTGCTTACTGACTGATCTTGTTGTATGGGCTATAGTTTGGGGACCTGCACCATAAACTATTATGCAAATACTAAAGAATTATCATCATTAAGTGATAATGAAAGATGCACAAATGTGTTTGCACCTATTTCTTCATTTTAGAAGAAATTAAACTACAAAATTTAAATGCATAGACATGAAAATAAATTTTATCTTACTAGAATATTAAAATGGGTCACAATATCCAGAATGAGAAGAATTCTTAAATTTCTTTTCACATATTTTTAATAAAATATAAAAAATCAAATTTTATATAAGCTTAATTTAGCACCCAAAAAAATTTAGTCATATGCTAGGAATTCCTGTAAAAACATTTTAATTTCATCAATTTAAGCAAAGTATTCAAACAAACCTTCATCTATTCAAACATTTAATTTAAACAAAGTGACATATTTGAACAATTACTTTTCTGTTCACACGAAAATTTCTCATTCGATTCGTATTAAATATATATATATATTTTTTAGGATATGGAAAAATGGGCCAAGACATTAAATCAGAAAAAAGAAAATGCTAAACTTGGCATTGTTGCTAGTCCTCCCATTGTAATTGCTCCCAGCATTGTTATGAATAATGACTTATCCAGGCATTCTGCAACAGCAGATGCTGGTTTTGCTATCCTTGAAAAACGCACATCTTTAGCAGAAAGGAGTGCATTGATGGCCGAACGGGAAAACAAGATTACCACTGTTACAGGTATGAGGATTTTTTGCTTGAAATAAAGATTTTTTGAATAAACATTTTATTCTTTAAAATATTAATGCTGTTTTTTTTTTTTTTTTTTTTTTTTTTTTTTTTCTAATTCAATATGCAAAAATACATACCATATACCCTGGCGTGTATAAGTCAACTTTTCAAGCTTCTAAAATTTTTCAAAATATAAGGGGTTGGCCTATACACCAGTAATAAAGCCAGACATTGGTTAATTGTGAAATATAGATGCATTATACGCAATGAGAAATATGAATAGCTCTGTATCAATTCACGACTTTCAAAAACAATTTTTATATATTTATAAACAATATTTTTTTTATCTTATTTTCTTTACATGTAAAGGTTTTTTTTTCTTTCTTTTTAAAGCAATGATTTAAGTAACCTTCAGGGGGAGAAGAAATTCTTTTAAAAACATACCATAAAGCTACGATTTTAACGAATCTAGAACATTGTCTATGGCTGATTCAACAATGTTGGCAGTGTTGTCATTTGAATCCATTCTGTAATGGATTCTACCTAAGTTTCATTTACTGAGTCCCACAAAAAATCAGTTTCAACCCCCGATATAAAGCAGAATTCTATAGTTCAAATTCGCGAGCACTCTGCAGTGGTATTGAAAAATGGCCTTCAATAGCAGAACAAATAATCCACAGGATTCATTATTTCAGGCTTTTTGGGCATTTTATGAAAAAGAACATGCAAGAGACATACAATGTAAAGCGACTAAATGTAACAGATAGCAATTAAAAAATTGTCCCTCCCGATTGCTACTTTTTATGACCATAATGTGCTTCTTGTTGAATATTTAAAAATATGCTGAAAATTTCTTTATTTCAAGCTTGTTTCTGAAAATATTTCTTCAGGCTAGAAATTAACTTTGTAATGTTCTCCGAGATTTGAAAAATGCTTCAAAAGTTATGCTTTACATAATTAATATCAACTGTTTATTAATAGCTTCGATTTTTGAAAAAGTGCCCATTTTTAAAAATGCTACCTCTGGTCAGTAGTAAAATTTCTTAAATTTGACCTATATCACAATCATTATTTTTTAATTTCACAATTATTGATTCAGCTGATTATGGAAAGATCGAATCCGATCAACAATGCAGTAATCATATCATAGAATTATTATTGGAAATGTTGATTTGAGGTTTCATTCACCACGTTACTTTTGTACAAAATACATTAAGTGTTATGGTTACTGTTTTCGTTTTAAAATTATTGGAACAATTCTTTAAAAATATTTGATTAAGGAAGTCAAGTCTTGAACTTGATAACAAATTTAGATAAATTTTGTTTTGAAAGACTATTAACTAATTGATTTTAGTATTTTTTTTTATGCATTAAATAAAACAATTTTATTAATAAAAAAAAAAATTATGTGTATCTCAAACTGTTAATTTTTTTTTTTTTTTATGCTTCAGAAGTTCTACTGGAAACTGTTAAAGCTTTCTGTTCTCAACACAGTAATTTTAAAATTAAAAATAGTATATTTTATAATTTAAAAAATTTGCATTCCCTTCAATGTGGAGAAAATTAATATTTTTTTCAGTCAGTTAGTCTTTTTCAAAAGTGGTTTGGTATATGTCTACTGCCCATTTAGTTAACCCTTTTAACTATTAAAGTGAGATTCAAAAAGAAGGGAAATGATTAAAAAAAAAATGTGATAACGTCGCTGAAATGCCATTTTCATTAAATAACATACCATAAGTTTGACATTGATTCAACTTGAAGGGGACTGACATTTCATAAAAAAAAAAATTGGTACGATTTTCAAACAGGAGAAGTATTGATAAATTTATTGTATTCATTGCAAATAAAGTTACGTAAATTATGGATTATGAAGGTCGACTTACGATAAAAATTTAGCATTCCATGTCTCTCCTTCATCAAGAAATTCAAGGTGTTTTAGATTTATTGTGTGGTAATAGCAAAAGAAGTAATGGTTTAACTAATTTCTTAAACATTTTTTCGAACTCAAATGACTGAATCATTACAGAATTGTTGTTGTAATAAAAGTTCTTACTGACTGTAATTTATAAGAAGGCTGGCAAATAAATTACTGTTGTATTTACAGGGTATCCGCGCACCTGGAAAGTCATGAAAAATCATGGAAAGTCATGAATTTTGGTATTGAACAAAATTTGTCATGAATTTAACTATTTTTTAAAAAAAATCATGGAAAGTCATGAATTTAGGTCGTCGAAAAATTTTATTTTTAAAATGGAATCTCACCCCAATTTCATGGTGTTCGGAATATCTAAATTTGTAACAAAATCCCCACTCAGAGTCATATTTTATTAAAATAAATAAAAGTTTTTATCATTTTCTTTAAAAATTATGCTGTTCTTTCAAAAAATGAAAGAAAAATATCATTTCTAGAGCAAAGTATCTTTATCTATTTCAGTAAGTATCTTTACCTATCTTTATCTATATCAAAGTATCTTTATCTATTTCAGAATTATTATTATTCGTCTTTTCTTTAATTTTATTTATTTAAAATTCTAGCTGACGCTAGTCAGTCCTTGGCAAAATTTCTTAATTCCGAAATGAGAACAGAAAAATCAGGAGTATTTCTTTCCTTTCTGATGAACAAGAAAAGTATCTTTAGAATATAATTCTGCAGAAAAAAGAAAAAATAATTATTATCTCAGCTATTTTATTGCTTCAACTATTTCTTTACTCTGTTTTTTAAATTTAAAATCAATAAATATGAAGATGCAGAGTATAACAGTTTTGGTTATACCTATCATTTCAATTAATGTTATTATAATGCTTTTTAAATTTATTATTCTGTTTTTTGTCGGAGAAAATAGTAACTTTGTTAAGTCATGAAATGTTCTTGGAATTAGACATGAAAAGTCATATATTTGAAAATCTAAAATGTAGCAGATACCCTGTATTTATGCTTTTTCTTTTTGTCATTATGTAGCTCCCAAGACTGCTCTTGTTTCTTATGGAGATGACAGCGATTCTGATACTGAGACTGATACAACCCCTGTAGATATTAAGAAGCCCATCAATAATAAAGTAGATGAATCCAAATTTATAGATTTATCGAAAATGGCATGCTTACTATGCAAACGACAATTTCCTAATAAAGATGTGCTTACAAAACATACGCAGTTATCAGATTTACATAAGGTAGGTTTTAATTTCATTATTTTTGTATTAAATCCATTGATAATTGTTTATTGTTTAAATTACACTACCACTTTGCTGAGTTTGATATGTCATGCCTAAAGTTATTGTTTTGCTATGCAAGTTGCAGAGTAAGATAGAAAATAATTTATTATTAACTATTTGTGCACATTATCCCAATGTATCTGCAGGCACAAAATATTCCTTGATAATAGCATAAACATTAAAAATGTTGAATTATGTTTACCAACCAAGGGTCTGTCTATGGCAAATTTACTACGTTTAGCATTGCCTTCACAAATTCAACTTAAGGAAAAAGGGTACTTTCATAAAAATACTTTGAAAAAGGCAAGCTCTACGATCCCCCCTCTCTGCTTCTTAATTTTTTTTTTTTTTTTGTGTTCCCATAAAAACGATAAAACCCAGGTTAATTAGGCTTTTCGATTTACAATTGAACTTTTCCCGTGGATTGCTCTTATGGCCCACATGGTTTGTAAGAAAAGCACTTTTCCTCCCCATGCTGGGATTCCAAAACGCTATGCGAGAAAAGGAGCGTCAGCTACTCCGTTCTTTAATTGAAGTGAAAGAAAAAGCTCTAGTACCATGCACCTGTTCTTGTTGCAATCTATGGGGGGGGGGCTTTTCCGAGTAAAATTTCTCTTCTACGAATAGGTAGCACGTGTTTGGTCAGTTAGTGCTGCCGTCAGGCTTACTGTAGGAAGCTCTCGTGGTCTTCCTCTCCATGTAACGCAAATGTTGGTTAGTTCCTTCAAAGACTTCCACGAAGGCAAATTTCTCCCAATACTTGATCCAGGAGTTCCCATGTCTTCTAGATTGGGTTCAAAATTACAAGGCTACGGAGTTGAACATTAGTAGTCGTAATCCCAAAAATTGGGTCGGCTGTTGAACGATGGTTATAAAATCAAATATTAAAAAGTTAGTGCGGTGTGGTAAGCCTAACCTGTCGCTTACGTCGTATTAAAGCAATATATATGTATTTTTAATGTTAAGGCTGTCCCTATGTAAACTTTCGAGGAAGTCAAAATTCGAACTATTATTTTAAACATTATTCTGAATTGATTCTAATAGACCTTTATTTTTTTTATGAAACACTTTTTTTTTTTCTCTATGAAACTTTTCTGTATGACCCAGTAGAAAATGTTCTCATAATGATAATAACTTTTAGTGCTAGTACTGTTAAATGTATGTTTTTATTAAATTGAAGTTGGAATTTAACTATGGAGAATGATTTTTATGGATTTTTAAATTTAGATACAATTTTAAGCCCAAAATTTTACAATAACAAAATTGTTTTTGAACATATGGAAAATATATATATATAAATTTACCAGTCATAAGTGATTTTTATTTGTAGTGACAATTTTTGAAGATATTTTCTTATTTTACCATATTTTTGTGTTGGAATTTTTAATTTTCACAAATTATGTCTAAATTTTTACAAAATAGGTACCTAAAAAATACCTAGACACACCTCGACTAACATTGCTCTTACTGTCAAATAAGAACAGTGTCTCTTGCTCTTTTATTCTTTAAAATCTGAAGACAAAGAGACTGAATATGCAATAGCAAAACCAAATGAGTCGCAACATTAAAAGTTTTTCAAATTGAAAAGTATTATAGACCTTTAGATATTACTGTCCCATTTAAATGCATTTCTGGTTGTAACAGTAATTACCAAATGATAGTTTTTGGCAAATAAACAAAAAACTGTTTCATTTCTTAATTAAACTATCCATAAATAAGTTATAAAATAAATTTTACTTGCTAACAATTTCTTAGAAGAAAATTAAGGAACAGTAATTGCATTCAATAAAATCACCCACAGATTTTTAGTGACAAAAAAGAAACTTATTTACTGTTTAGAGTGAATATTTTCTTTAAAATTTATTATTAGGGTGGCCTCAGGACAAGGAAAATAAAATACCCAAAAAAATCAGAGAAGATGAATTAATTTGAGATTCAATATTTTTTCGTAAAAATTTTTTATTTTTCAAATTATTCTCAGTATGTGTTTTGTTACATACTTTATTAAGTCTAAAACATTAGTAAAATTTAATAATATACATGCCACCAATTTCAATAAAGTCATTCTGGGAAATTTTTTGATTGTTTCTGACCGCTTAGATTTTGTAAATGTGTTTTGTGTGTACTTTTAGATAGTTATTATTCTCTGTATTTAACTTTTCTTTTTGAATAATTTTGAAATTTTTTTTTCTTTCAGAAAAACCTTGCAAAAATCCTTGGCAGCACGTAAGTTTCTTCTTATTTTTTTTCTTAGCAAAATATTGAATTTTAGATTAATTTTTTCAAGTTAATAAAACATTTTTAAATGTTTCTTGTGCGAAAATAGAAATTTCAGGCTGTGGCTGCAATAATCGATGCCAGAAAACAAAATAATACAGTTCCCGCCGCTTTATAAAATCAAATTGGCAAAAACCGAATCGTTACAATATTAATACATGTTGAAAACATCCTTTAATAAAATCAATGCCGCCGCTTTTTAAAATCAAAATTTTGACTACATAATAAATCAAAGGTGCAATATTCCAGCTTTTTTTGTTCTTATTTATAAAATTTTATTTTTTCGAAGTTTAAAGATTTTTTTCGAAGAAGCAACAGTTACTCACAAACCTGTGAAACAGGTGTGGTTAGCACTTTCCTGTGATATATATAGTGTAAGAGTTAAGGGAAAATGTGGGTGGTAAGCGGCGAGTTCATAGAAATCAATTTATCAATGTTAATTCCTTGACTTGAATGAAGTTTGGAGAAACCTATCTCACTCAACAAGGGGTCAAATTCTTATCTTACTTTTTATTGAATGAACCATAGAAGGGAGAGAAGTTTCTTTTGTGATCTATCTTAACAGAGAACATGAATAGATTTCCAAAATCTGTCTGTGCTCATGTTGCATATTATTTAAGCCGTTGGAGTAAATTATAGTTAGAGTTAGAGCACATATCATTTTTAAGTTCGTTTGATGTTAAATTTTATCAGCGTGCGGAAAATTCGAAGTGTTGCAAAACTATGATTAGCTTCCTAAATGTAGTCAACGTGAAGCTTCAATGGAGATGGGGCTCATAAGTGTTTCGAAGAAATGATCAGCAAGGAAGAAAATGAAATGGACGAGAATTTTTCATGTTACATAGCTATTGACAATAACCTGCAAACATCAGGAGAAACATCTGATTCTGAAATTGTTACAGACATCAAAAATTGCATAAAGTTATTTCCCATCACGAAATGGAGGAATCAGACTCAGAAGATGAAATAAACTCATCAGTGCCATCTTCAATGGAAGTCAGAAAAGCACTTAATGTATTGCGGCAAGCTTTAGAACAAAGAGGAGGAATATCGAAAACTTCTATAAACTCTCAAATGATGTTGAAAAGTTAACTTTAAATACTGCAACTCAAGCAACCATTGATCGGTTTTTTGCAAAACTTTTGTAAATTTAATCTTATGAAGGGTTTCACTTAATTAAAATAATTAAATTAGTTAAAATGAGGCATTAATGTGGTCACTATTTCAGCTTTTAAAGTGTGTGCATTTAGAATATATTGTAAAAAAAAAATTTTTTTCAATTGTTGAATTGCCTCTTAAAAAAATTAAAAGAGCATAAAACGAAAGTGATTTTAATAAACGGCAGGCACTGTACTAATATTTAGGAGTTCATATATTTCGAGATTTTATTCTGAGGCCTCAATTGTTCTATATTTCTTGTATTTTTGAAAAAAAAATACCATAAAATTTCCTTGACTTTAAAAAATCAGTATTTTGTCCTATATGTTTTCTTTGACTGACGTTTTAAATTTCAGAATTTTTAGGACTCATTTAAATATCAACATAATTAATTATTATTTTCAAACTTGATTTTTACTGAAAGCTTAGTGTACAAAACATTAAAGTTTGAATTGGTTATTTCTTTTCAGTTAATACCATAGTCTATTTCTATTTTAAAAAATAAAAAAAAAAGCTATAAATAAAATATATTTGACTCAAATAAATTATTCAACCGTGATTTTTTTTATTTTTTGTACTAATTGTTTGTTTGTTTTTATGTTCAAAATTTAAGATGTTGAATTGACTACTTCTTTTCGAGACTTTTTTCTGCTTTTTTCAGTGTACAAACGCAGAAATAATCTGTTTATACCATAATTACATAAAATCGTGCATATACAGTCGGACCTCTATTTAACGAATTCGCTAAATCCCGATAATAAGTTAGTTATATAGAAAATCACCTTTTAAAATACTTGAAAACCAGAAAACAGGTATCATACATAAATTTATAAACACTAGGCATAATTAAAATAGCAATTGATACACCTTTATCTTGTAAACTAGTATCTACTATTTGTTTTATAAATCTTAACCATAAAAGAAATTTGCATGAAAAGCAAGAATATAGCAAAACATTATCCAGTGTTACACTATTACGCTACATACATTTTCAACTTATAAAAAAGCTAAATTAATGTATAAACTTATAGCTGCATTTATTATAAAAGTAATTTTAAACATACATCACCACATTTGTAAAAAATATTTCCAACCAAACATTGAATTTGTGTTGCATTTCATTTCAGGTGACCCATCTGAGTCATTAGAGTTCAGAAAACAATTGGAGATTTTTAAAACATGCAAATTTGTAAATCTAAACTGTATATTTTTTGTAAATATTTTATCCTTGCTTTAGAAATGAAACTTCCAATCATTCTGATCATTTTGTATTCTTCAATTTTAAAAAGAAACTGAGACTATAAATTCTTCCAACTTGTTTTATGTTACTTTCCTGTAAAAAATTTCTTCCTTCATGTAAAAAAGAAATCTTATTTCATGTTTACTAACTATTGATGCTTCCATTTTTCCATTTGTTTGTAAATAAAATTGTTGATAATAATGTTATAACTTATGCTTGCATATTTTTTAAGTAATAGAAAAGTAATGTTTCTTATTGAAAAAGATTGCTAATTTACTGAGTACCCTAAAAATGAAAAAATGGTTTAGTAGCTTCTGCTTGCAAAACGATTTTTTTCTCCCCTTGCCGAAATTTCTCTAGAGATGGCATGGTTGATCAAAACTTAAAAGCTATGTTTACTGCTGTATATCAAACCATCTATATATATATACAGTAGAGCGCCGATTATCCAAACTGCTGGGGACCGAACGTTGTTCGGATAATGGAAAGTTGCTTAAAATTTAGTTTAAATGATTATTATTTATGCGCTAACTTCCCTTCACACTTTTTCTGGGCTTAGAACTGACAATACTATCTAAAATAGCTCTGGTGTGTTTAAAAGTTTATTTTTTTCTTTTCAATTTTTAAACATTTTCTATTTATTTATTTTTTTTTTGAATTATTTTTGTCATATTTCAACTTATAATTTTTTTGTAAATTACTGATTTCACTACATTTTCCTTTATTTTCCATTACAAAAGAAATCCAGCAAAGACTTTTGTTTCAAAGAAGATGCTCTTTTTTGAGCAGCCATATCCCTTATTATTCTTTTTAAATAAATCAACTGAATGGGATCAACATTATTTTGACGTTCTAGCCAATTCATTGCAATATCTAATGAATTGCATGCTTCTATATGAGAAGGTCCACTATCTTGAACTTGATCACCTACTTCTTCCTCTTCGTCTGCGGTTTTCCAATTTTCTTTCAAAATTTCAGCAACAGTTTCATCATTATTTAAAATTTGAAATCCTGGGTCGTTTTCAGTGTCTCGACACCAGCCATCTATTTCTTCTGCTGTATAACCTGGCATCTTTTCATCCGGAAGATCTACTGATTCAGAAAAACTTCAGTTTCGTTTGTTTTTCTGTTAAGAATTTTATTTCAAGATTTAAGATTCCAAGCAGCGTAATCATTAACCATAGGTGACAATTATCCATTCCCCAATTGTAGAACTTCAGCACTTATCTATTCGTAAACTCCTTCTGCATCCCAACTATTGTAGGCTATCGAAATGAAGCTCGTATTCTTGGAAGATAATTCATAGTTGAAGAGGGTTATGTAGGTTTAACTGTATAACAATACATGTATGTATATGTATGGCTACTATAAGAAAACTGCTAAAAAAGGTTGTAAATTAAATATGGTCTTCAAATGTAGTGGATAATATTTATTCTTCGAAATGTAGAAAAATTGCCGATAAGTTAAAAAATATTCTAAACTTTAAAAGAAAGAATTCGGACATAGTTCGGATAATCGGCGCTCTACTGTATATATATATATTATGTCGTTGCCGAGTGGAAGGATTAAAACAGGTCTTAAGTCGGGAAGGAGGGTACAAAATTTTTTTATTAATTATTAAGACAGAGCAGTCATGAGAATGTGTAAAAGTGCACACGAAAAGTTACGCTCCTTGGTTATATGTNCATATATCCCTTATTCTTTTTAAATAAATCAACTGAACTGGATCAACATCATTTTGACGTTCTAGCCAATTCATTGCAAAATCTAATGAATTGCACTTCTATATGAGAAGGTCCACTATCTTGAACTTGATCACCTACTTCTTCCTCTTCGTCTGTGGAGTTCCGATTTTCATTCAAAATTTCAGTAACAATTTCATCATTTTCATCCGAAAAATCTATGGGCTCAGAAACTTCAGTTTCGTTTGTTTTTCTGTTAAGAATTTTATTCCAAGATTTAAGATTTCAAGCACTGTAATCATTAACCATAAGTGTCAACTACCCATTCCCCAATTATAGAACTTCAGCACTTATCTATTCATGAACTCCTTCTGCATCCCAACTATTGTAGGCTGTCGAAATGAAGCTCGTATTCTTGGAAGATAATTCATAGTTGAAGAGGGCTAACGGGTTATGTAGGTTTAACTGTATAAGAGTACATGTATGTATATGTATGGCTACTATAAGAAAACTGCTAAAAAAGGTTGTAAATTAAATATGGTCTTCAAATGTAGTGGATAATATTTATTCTTCGAAATGTAGAAAAATTGCCGATAAGTTAAAAAATATTCTAAACTTTAAAAGAAAGAAAAGAATTCGGACATAGTTCGGATAATCGGCGCTCTACTGTATATATATATATATATTATGTCGTTGCCGAGTGGAAGGATTAAAACAGGTCTTAGGTCGGAAGGAGGGTACAAAATTTATTTATTAATTATTAAGACAGAGCAGTCATGAGAATGTGTAAGAGTGCAAACGAAAAGTTGCGCTCCTTGGTTATATGTCAGGGAAAATCTTGCAAAATAAAATCTGTGAAAAGTCTTAATTTAGGGAAAGAGGGAAATCTTAGTAGATGTTATTGGTTTATGAAATAGATCGAGCGTTTCCCACAGAGAGCAAAGGGAAAAATGTCCTGCTTTTAATTAAATGCATACTTGAGCCAAAAATAGATTTAAGAACAGGATGTAGCTTTTAAAAGTGTGAGAAAGTATTTCGATTAGGATAACACAAAAAGATTAATAGAAGCTTTTTATGTTGCATATATATATATTCTCTTAAAAGGTGAGAAAGTCCACACTTCTTTGCGTTGGCAACAAAGAATTTAACAAACTTATGCTTTAACAAACATGTTTACAAACTTATGAATGAAAATTCTTTTCTCACATGAAGAAAAAGCTGCAACAAACAGAGTTATAAGTTGAAAAGAATTGAAAGGTTAAAAGTGAATTATTCATATCAACTAAATGTCATATTTTGTTTTGGTTATATTGTTATTCATTCACACATGAGTATTAGTCATATTGTTATGATTTTCAAGTATAATTAATAAAAAAAAACATTGATAGCAGTTATGAAAGACTTAAAATAATGCATAGACGTGCCATCTTACATGTTTTTTTTAAAAAAAACCTGTTTCTGTCAGTATTTCTATTGCATGTCAATTTTAAAAAAAAAATATTTCAATAATTTATTGACTGAATACATTAATTTTTTTAGAGGGAAACTTGTTTAAAATTAAAAATTCAAACTAGGACACATTTTAAATGAGTTTTTAGTAGCAAACCTGGTTTAACCCTTTCGCTCCGACTGTCACATATGCGTGCCAGCAAGAAACACGCCCACTTCCCCGTCGCCACACCTGCGTGCCAGAGCATTTTCTCTTTCACCCCTGGCCGTCACTCATTTGTGCCAGCGTTTCGGAATGTTTTAAAAAATATAATTTCTTCCATAAGATGGCATTGTATGTCCATATGGTTTCAGATACATGTAGATTTGACCTTCTACTCAAGATGAGAATACATACACGTGGTTTTAGGGGGAAGGAATGTTTTATGACGGCTCTTTAAATTCGCACGTGGCATTTGTTTACAGTAAGTAGGGGAGGTTTTTTTTCCCTCTACTTTTGATTTTCGGTTTAATTTTTAATGGATAGTTAGGTCTTGTATATCCCAGTTTTAAAATTTTTCATACGAAAAAAGAACTTTAAATCATGTATTTAGTTTTCAGATATGTAATGTTAAATGTTATTAAATGATAAGTACATAATGAAAATAAAATGTGTAAAATATATATTTAAACAAGAAATAACTTGAGTCAATAAAGTATGTATGTAAAGCTTATGTCATTTAAATACTCTACAGAAAAATATTAAACGACGCATTGATACTTCGGTAATTTCATGGAATTAGGCTTAACAGCGAAAAACCTTCCGGCCCTGGAGAGACACGCGCGAGAGAGACTGCCGGCCTCAGCGGTAAGCGCGCTTCCTGTTGCAAAAGGGTTAAGGCTAGTGCTGAGTACACCTAGCCTACTGAGGCTACATACTAGAGACAAGTCAGTGAGCGGGGGGTGGAGCCCACTAGTTCTAATAAAACTATTTCCTAGGTATCGTCATAATGTGATACTTCTGTACTTATAAAAGTTATTTCAGAAAACTTTGTATATAGTTTCTCAGTTTGCTGCGCCATCTATTAATCAATCTTGTAATTAATTTTGAAACTTAGGAAAATGGTTACAGTTGGATGGCAGAAAAGTAATGCGGCCAATTTCAGAATATGAAAATTTTTCCTTGATACAGAAATTTAAAATTCTTACCCAAAGACAAAATTAACAATAGAGATTGGAAATTATTTTGACTGAGAAAAGAGCAATAGAAAACTGACAAAATATTTTTGAGGTTTTAGTAAGAAGGACAGAAAGATTACCTAGTGAAAGCTCTTATTTTCCTTAAATAACTTTACTTTTGATAAACTTTTAAAAATACAAATTGAGAGTCCCTATCAGACAACATGGGTTTTAACATCAACTCCAAGAGAATTATCTGGGAATTATTTTCTTATTGCTGGAAGATTTTGTGAACCTTATAAACAATTTTAAGAAATGTACTTCAGAAAAATTAAAATTTGGTTATTAGGTTTCAATGAATAAAATTAAATAAAAAAATATTCTAAAATCTTCCCAATAATAACGCATTCTTCGTATAATTATCTTTATAAAAAGATTGCGTTTACATGAAGGAGGTAGAATTCCTTTTACCTGTCAATATTTGAGGGGTGTGCTTCAGACAAAAATGGTCCTCCCATCTTCATATTAACTTACGTAGAATTACATAAACACAATTTTGCTTGTAACAAATTGACATTTTGGGATGATTTTTCTTTCATCTTTCACAATGAAATGCGTTTTATTGAACCTAATTCCTAAATTTGGAAGTAAAGGAACTTTTTAGATTTAAACATTTTAAAAGTACTTACAACTTTAAAATTTAGTAACTAGGTTCAATAGAATGTATTTTAATGAATGAATGAACCTGAACAAACATCTTTCTTTAATATTAATTGCAGAATAAATTAGGAAATTCCATACACATTATTCTCCGTAGTTTAACGGGATGATGGAAAAATCTCTTCTGACTAAAGGATCTTAAGGGCAGTAATTATGAAACACCTTGTTTTTCTGCACTTATAACTGCTTTAGTTTTGGTCATGCTATGTTTGAATATGCGGTTAAAAATTGTTTTTACTTTAACGGGTGATGTTTATTAATTTTGTACAATAAGGGGGCGAAAGAGTAGTTTTTAAAAAATTTATTTGCAGAAATTAGTCAATCAATTAACTAAAATAACAAATGTGAATTGTTTAAATACATTTTTTTTATCTTTTGACCTCATATTTATCGAACTATAAGACATTTGTAAGAATGTAGCTCTACAAGACATTTTAGTGAACATAGTATCCTCTTCACTAAATTTTAGGAAGCAATATGCTATATTTCATAAGTAAGTACTATAAATTTTTATCTGGCAAGTCAGCAGAACTATACATGATACATTTTGATGTTTTGCACTTTAGTGAATTGAGCATTCTTATATTTTTTAACATTAGTTAAAAATATTTTTGCTGTAAAAATTCGTACAATAGAAAAAAATTATATATCGGAGAAAAAAATCGTTCACGTAGTGTATGAGTTTCATTATTCTATACAGCCTTTTCCTACAGTTAATATGAAATTTTTACAAAATTTCGTTGTATACCGCTCAATAGAAAGTATACTATACTAATCAATATTTACTGACTTTTTTTTTTTTAATGTGATCATGCTATGACTAACTACTTTCTTAGGCTCCACTAAATATCCACTCAAAATATCTTAAGACAAGTCAGATAAACTATTAATGTTACTTTTTTCATTGTTTATATTATAGTGGAAGAGGAATACCGTCTATTAAAATATTCAATGCGAATAAACTGTTAAAAACATTAATAAACTGTTAAAACATTATTAAAATTCATAGAGCTTAGAAAAGTACTTTAAAAAAAAGTCCTACATCATAAGCACTGTCCAATAAATTAAACGTCACATTTCTGAACCTAAACGAAGGTCTCTTTGAAAAACAATCTTGGAGATTCTGATCTGGTCATCATGCATTGACTAACAGCTCTTACAGACTCCAAAGACTCGACCGTATTCTGATAAGCGACGTGTGATGCTCCATCAATTTCATCATACAAATTGTCATCTAACAAATCAGCAGCACTGTTGATGGTGTCATTCTCGGCTATTCTGTTTGGAGAATCTATTATATGTGCCTTGATTTTTGATACTAAAACCAATAATAAAGAACCACTTGCAATCAAAAACAATCCAATTACAAGAAATATTGTCCAAGAGCTTCTTGAGAATGGACGAGGATCTATTGATACTGTTATACTGCCAATGCCCAGAATAACCAGGATCATGCCGGAAACGTAGGTCGCTGTGGAAAAAGAACTTCTTGGAGATGATCTAAAAATATCTGAAATATGAAATAATTTCTGTTAAATTAAGAACAAATAAAAAATTTATTTTTCACCCAGCTTAGAATCCAAAAATTTATAAAGAGCATTTTTTTACGTAGTGGCAACACCGCTAAATTAAAGCGCAAGCGATTTTTTGAACTGACCGTTTTCTAAACGAAGTAATTAGCATTATATTAGAATACTGCCATATCCCTCATGCAGTCCAGATCTCACACCATGCTGTTCCCAGGTTGTTTTCTACATTGAAGGGAAGCTCTGTGGTGGAATATTTAATACAAATTCTGACGTTATATCAGCAATGCAGGGCTCTTAGAAACAACTACCAGAAAGTTGTTTTGAAAAGTAAGATGAATGATCAGACCGTTCCATATCATTTAAAGGGGGGATACATTACCCTACAATAACTGAATAGACACTTTCAGTTTTTCCAATTTTTTTTAAATTTCTCAAGAAATACTTCGAGGAATATTTTTATAACTTTTGAAGTGTTTAGGTCCTGCGATTTCTCATATTAATCAATATAGTTTAAAACTGTCAAAGGTTTGAGAGGACGAACTAAAAATTGTTTTTTGAACACCCTATATGAGAAAGTGTAGTGTTACTTGGGTTAATACTATATGTAATGATTACGAAACATTTTGTGCGCCCTGTTTAAATAATTATGCAAATGCAGAATTTTTTTTATATATGAAAAAAATTACTTATCTTGATGCCATTTTTGCTATAATTCTTGATTTTTATGATTATTTAATTATGGTTTGGAAAATTTTGAATAATATACAAATTTTTACATTGTTTTAAACTGTCCAATTTTGAATCACAAAATTCAAAAGTTGAGCAGAATCGCTCTAATAATTCGTAAAAAAGAAAAATTATTATTGAAAGATGTTCTAGAGCTCTACGCCTCCTACGTTTTGAGAGTCAAAACCCGTCAGAAGAAAAAAATCAGAGAAAGTACGTTTCTGTCTCTGATTTCAAATATCGTCTGCACAAATTAATCAACAAATTAAAGATTTAACTTATGAACTACAAAAAATTTATATTAAGTACACGGGCGGATCCTGGAATTTTTCCTGGGTGGGGGGGGGTGTCATGGACTCAGATTCCCCCTCCCCCACACAATTTTTTTATAAAAAAACAAAATTTTAAAAAAAAACGGGTTTTTAATGCTAGTTTTCTCATTTATTTTTTTCATAATGAGCAATACATAAATAATTCAAGTATTCAACATCTTTAAATAATAAATCTAATGCGTTTTTTAGAAACTTGGGCAAATCTGTCAATGTTGAAGTGCTCGACGCGCTTCAACATTATTAATGTTTACAATGAAACTATGACGGATTTCGTTTTAATCTTTCGGATTATGATTCTTGAAACAGTGAAGAACATTATTAGATGGAAAAAGGTCGATTTTTCCGACCACCTAGGTGTATATGCTCCTTAAATAATTTTTAAAATATTTTATTTCTTTCAATTCAATTTTTTCAATCTTACTAAATATATATATATATATCATGAAAATTTTTATCTTGATGAAAAAGTTACACTTAAAGACACTGTCGGTGCAGTGTTGAAAAATATTTTGTGTTAAAATAAAAAGTTCGTTTCCAAAACATTTTAATTCAATATTCAACACACGTTTATTTCATTTACGTTGCACTAGAGCTGCTCAATGGGCTATTGACGACGGTCTGGGAAACATCCCTGAGGACGATCCGAGGACATGCCATCACAATTTTGATCCTATGCAGAGGGGATGGCACCCCCGCTTAAGTAGCCCGACGACCTGCACTTTACGGTAGAACAGTTTAACGAAGACCAATACCGCAAACCCTTGGTCCCTTCGCAGACTGACCGTAGCCAGTGATGCTTGACTTCGGAGATCTGCGGGGAACCGTGTCTGAACAATCAGTCCACTGCGGGACACACACGTAACAAAAAAAAAGGTGGAATCGCTGCACTCTAAGATTAAAACGGATTAAACTTTTTTGAATGTTTTCGAACACGTCAAATCATCTTCAAGCGAACTCCAAGGATTCTAAGTTAGCGAACTTGCTTAATGTGGGTTTTATTGCAAGTAAACAGGAAAAAATAATTACCTATTATCTAACATACTTTTGTTCTAACGATCGGATTTTCCCGTACTGAAAACCAAAGTTAATAATTCAAAGGCTTGCTTCGAAGTGTGCTAATTAAATAGGGATAACTATTAACCAATTTACGGAAACAAACACAAAAACGTACTTTTCTGTATAACCATACCGTCTTATTCGGCAGGTTTGGTATCTTGACCATCAAAATATGGAACGGAACAGAAACAGTCGGGAATATTGGTCCCAAACAGTTTAGTCATAAGAGTGATCGAAGGTAATATTAATTTCTCTTATTGCGTATTTTGCCATATCTCTGGAGCTTTTTATACGCATCGCACACCTATTGAAACCACTACCAATATGAAATTCATTAAACCAATGTTGACAAAATGCAACATTTAATTTTTAATAATTATTTATCATCAGTCTACATTGATTATTAAAGGATGAAGAAAATTTATGCTTATTCAGAGAAAGTATTTTTATGTTTGAGTTCAAAATTTCATTAGTTGAATAAATCCAAATTAGTCGGCGACTTCAACACAGTCACAGATATTTTTATTTTATTCTATTCAATAGCCGTCGCTGAACAGCTGACCCAATTATTTGGGTTTACGACTACTAATGTTAACTTTAATTTTGAACCTAATCCAAAAGACAAGGAAACTCCTGGATCAAGTACTGGGAGAAATTTGCTTCCGTGGATGACTTTTTGATGGAACTAACCCGCATCGGCGTTACATGGAGAGGAAAAACACTAAAACCTCCCACAGTTACCTTGATGGCAAAGGGACTCTAACCCATGATCCGTCTACCACTGAGGATATTCTACGTCAGCTCTGTGGTCGGTGCAAGTCAGATGTGGAATTCGTATTGACAAACCATTGCTGGGACTCGAACTCGGTTCACCTCATTGGAAGGCGAACTCTCTATCCTCTGAGCCATTACGACTCCATAAAATAATTTGTCATTTTTAAAATAACTGATAAGTTTATGCTTTCTAAGCAACTACTTTTTATAACTAAAGATAATTCTTGAATAGCTTTATCTACATGTAGTAAAATTTGCAACTATAAGATCCTTAAAAATCATACTTTATGATGTTTAAACTTGATGCCATATTATTCTTATGTCATACTTTATAATGTTTAAGTTGATAAGATGTTGCATTTTATACAATAATACTGAAAAATAAAATAAGAGAAAAAAATATTAGAAAAAGGAAAAATTTCTGTATAGTTATCTATATTTCTATATAGCTTTTAATCAAGTAACAGAAAAAAAAAAAATATTTTCTTTTTGTGCTTTGTTTTGTTCTCTCAATCTGGCCTTTTGATTTTTATTGTAAACAAGTTTAAAGATATTTTAAAAAGAAGTATCAGTAACTGTTTGCTTTTTAAAAATATAAAACTTTAATGATAAATAATCAGTAGATGCAATAATAATCTGCAGTTGGAGAATGTTTCTGCTACCGAGTTTAGCACTAATTAATAAGCGTATTCGAAGCCAACCCTTCAAACTAACAATTAAAAATTATTTTGAATATACGTGAAAATCTGGTGGTTAAAAAAGTTTCTAGAGGGATTTTTTTTAACTGCACCTTTCATTAAAAGTTTACTTTTCTGATACAAATTCTTTCTACTACCGTCATTCATAAATAAACATTTTTAATGAATATCTAGTTCTAACTAGTTTATTTATTTTGGATTAATGTAAAAGAATAAAACAAGTTTTCTAAAACAGTTCATGTGACTCATTTGAAATTTATCCTCCTTTAAAGAACGATCAAACAAGAACAGTCTTCGTTGTGGGCCAAAGAAAAAAATCTGGATATTATTTGGAATAGCATGCCTGCCGAGAATATCTTTTAGAAAAGGCAAATGACAAACTTAAAAAAGTTTAACTTGCTCTACTTAAGCATAATAAAGGTGAATTTAAGCTCAAAAGAATAATTTAATAAAATATACTGTTTTTAATTTCAGAATTTAAATTACTTTGTTTAAAACAAAAAGTTTTTACCATTTTCAGTTTAATTTATGAATGGAGCACTGAAAAATCAACTCATAACAGTTAGAGATCAATTTACAAAAATTTTTTTTCATGGATGTTACATTTAAAAAAAATACCCGGAATCAGTTAATACTCTATAATATCAATATTTAACTAAAAATTGTTTTCGAGTCCAATATTCCAATCTTAAATAATTTTAAAACAGGGTTTCAATAATCAATGAAAGGAAAACAGTGAATATGCTTGTTAAGTTTGAACAGTTTTGCACATAAATAATTTAGTGGATGATCAAACAATTCTATACGATTACTGAATTGTTCATTGAAATCGATCATTTTGAATATCAGACGAATTAAATTACAAACCAAGATTTGTAACTATATTTGCTAAATTAAAAAATAAACTTAAAGCCTCTACATTCATCACCAAAATATGATAATGTTAAATTGTCAACTTCTTTCATAAGTGACGGAATTGGGGCAGTTCAAACATTACATACGGGGATTGAAAATAGTGTTTTTCTAACATGGGATGAAAATTCAGTTTTTCAGAGTCTCTGTATTGATGTATGTACTTTTATAATCAAACAATTTTTGAAAGAAAGAAGAAAACGATTGGGAAAAGTGACCGGTTGTTAAGTCGCCACTTTTTTTGTTGACTCGCCACGTGGCGCTTAGTTATTTTCAGATTTAAGGAAAGGGATTTATGATTTGCTAATTTTTGCTGACAAAAGGAGAGAAGAAGTTCGAAATCGCCAGAAATGGCTATTTTAGAATAATAATATCCGTGCTCACGTAATTTTCGAATGGCCCATTCCCAAAAAATTCAAAATAAAGAATCTTGTGGGTAAAGAAATATACCTGAACCACGCATATAATCAGTGGACAATCCTTAAGTTGGAACTATCAATTAAAGTAAAGATGTTGGATCAAAAATCCAATTCTTCGAATTGATTGTTTTAAAAATCTGCATTTGTATTCACAGAAAATGGGATGTATGGATTTGCAGGAATTTGAATATGAGAACAAAAAATTAAAATCTGGACAAATTAAGACATACGTTTTGATCAGGAATATCAGAACAATTGCAAATATGGCAATAAAATAATAGCAACATGAAAAAGTTCATATGAAATTTAATTAAAAGAAATATCTCTGATTTGGAAAGTAATGTTACATAATTTTCAAAACTTAACAACATTTTTATCGCTGACAACATAAAAAATAAATACAAAGTACTAAATGCATAGAGGTAAATTTAAATGGAAACTTACTGCAAGGCATCTTCTAAAATATTTAAATTAAAAAAAAACATTAAGATTAAAACAAACACATTAAAATCACTAATCGTGATTTATTTTATTTTATTGGTACACATATATGCGGGCTTGTGTGCTCAATTACAGAAGTATGGCTTATAAGCCTCTTAGGTAGAAAAATAGATACCACAATTTAGAGAAAATGGTTGTGGGTTCAAATCCCGCTCAGGGCATGGATATTTCTGTGTGTTCTCTGTTGCGTGGGAAATGTTGCTCGCCTCTTTGATTTAGGTTTACAGGTGCCCATCGGGTAACGTTAAATGAGAAACACTTCCTGCATCTTCCGAGGTGAAGAACGAAAGTTCAGTGCCAGTTGTAGAAAAAAAAAGTTGCGTCGGGATTCGAACCCTCTGTCTCCAAGACACAAAGCGCTGGGCGGGCAATTCAGGTAGGCCCCATTGAATTAGTACTTACACTAAAGATGGCCAGCGTCCTCAAAAAAATTTTAAAATTTCTTCCATATACTATAAAATTTCTAATTGAATCGCGGTGGCCCAGGGACAAACAGGTGACTCAGTTTCGGATATTAAAGTAGGATGTTTGATACAAAATCTGATCCCGGCCACAGTGTTGATGAAAAATATCCTCAGTGGCAGATTATGGATTTGAATACCCTTGCCGCCGGGTTCCGCAGTAGACTAATTGTAAAAACACGGTTCCCAGTAGAACACTGAAGTCAAGCAACATTGGCCGCTGTCAGTAAATGGGTGGGTGACCACTTCAATCAGCCTGCGTAGGGACCGAGGGTGTACGATATCGATCCTCGTTAAACTGTTCTACCGTAAAGTGCTTGACTTCGCACGCAGATCGTCGGGCTACCAAATCAGGGGAACCATCCTCTCAGCAGAGGATCAAAATTGCGATGGCATGTCTTCGTTGTTGTTGTTAATTTACGTCGCACTAGAGCTGCATAATGGGCTATTGGCGACGGTCTGGGAAACATCCCGGAGGATGATCCGAAGACATGCCATCACAATTTTGATCCTCTGCGGAGGGGATGGCACCCCAGCTTAGGTAGCCTGACGACCTGCGAGCGAAGTCGAGCACTTTACGGTAGCACAGTTTAACGATGACCAATGCCGCACACCCTCGGTCCCTACGCAGACTGATTCAATTGGTCACCCACCCGCACACTGACCGTAGCCAGTGATGCTTCACTTCGGTGATCTGCTGGGAACCGTGTCTTAACGATCAGTCCACTGCGGGACGGCATGTCTTCGGCTCATCCTCAGGGATGCTTTCGAGACCGTCGCTAATAGCCTATTGTGTTGTGCTGCTCTAAAGCGACGTAAATAAAGTACCTACCCTTGCCGTCGGGGTAACAGTGAAGGATTTTTCTTTGTATGTAACACAAATGAAGGTTAATTCCATCAAAAAGTCCTCCACGAAGGCCAGTTTATTCCAACACTCGTTCCCTTGTCTTCTGGGACGGGTTTAAAATCACAAGGCTACGGAATAGAACATTGACTGTCGTAAATTCAGAATTGGGGTCGGGTAGTCAGCGCTGTTTTTAAAGTAAAATAAATATTTTGGGAGAGCAGAAATCGCACGCAGATCTTTTTTTTTTAACTGGAAAAAGTAAGAGATGAGTTTCCAAGCGTGTTGTTTTAAATAGTTTGCAACGAGTTTTCTGTAGATGTTGGTCAGCCTACTTATACTTCATAGTTCAGTGTAACTTCTAGGCCATAGACTGCTCCTTTGCCACAGTTCGGAGTAATCATCTATGTAAATGTATTTTAAAGAAAAGAATGTTTAAAACTGAACATTTTTCACCCCCCCCTCCTTCACTATTTAAGAAATTCTAAATCTATAAACTAATTAGTGTTTAAAAGGGGAAAAAAAAACGAAATTTTGTAAATTTTTTGGAGGTCACAGTGACCACCAAACCTGAAAAAGTCTCTCCCTGAATGCTTTACGAAAGCAGTGAAATATTCAATACGGAGGTAATAACTGAAGGATTTCCGTACCGCGATATTCTGCAAAATGACCGAAAAGTCACGAAAATTTTCAGGTAGTGGTCAATGAAAAACAATAAAAAAAAATCACCATTTAAAAAAAAAATCCATTTGGCGCCTTAGCGGTTGTAGTTTGCGTAACAGATTACTATACGGAAATATCCCCGTAATATTATTGCTAAGTGCTTTTAATTTAATGTTTAACAATAAACAAAGATGGTGCGTACAGCTTAGGGCTAAGTCAAGTTGAACATTTTTCATCTTTTTCCGTAATCAAGAAGCTTCTAGACTAAATCGCTCTAAAAACGACAGTATTTTCAACTACAGGAAGGGCTCACACTAACGTGCACTAGCCTTCGTAAGAAAATTCAAGAATTTATTATTTATAACGCGCACTTATCTACCGTGCGCGTTATTCTGATATTCATCGATTTTTAAGCTGCTAAAACTTCAGTCAGATTGTTGATATTAATAGCTGGGTTATTTATCAAATTTCTCACCAATGCAGTGTTCCGTATGCTGGGCAAACATAACACAAAAATCAGGGTACATAAAACTATCTTTCATAGTAGGATTGAGCTTTGTTTCTTCAAATTTCTTTTTTATTACCTTAGATTGCTCCATTAAGCAGGTGTTTAATTCTTTACTTTCTATTGTCATTTAGTGTTGACAAGCCTATGCAACAATTAGTGTTGACAACCCAACGCATAGTGTTGGCAAGCTTTTGACAATGAATGGCTTTAACTGTCATGTCAAAAACCCAAAAATTAGGCAAGGTTATATTTATTAGAAATTAAAAGATCAAAATTTTATAGCTTTTTCTTGCTGGTACAAAAGATTTTTCAAAATATTTTTGGAAAGTTATGTACTGTTAAAAATTTGGTAATAAAAGCAAGGAAATTTTTTTTTATTGATTTTTCACAATTCTTTAATAAGCAAGAATGTGTTAAAGATAGTAATCAAGATATATTGAAATAGCAATAATTTATTAAATTTCCCGCTCATAAACTTAATTCAAAGTAATAAATACACAAACATGTTTTCTTTTAACAAAAAAAATTCTTGCTAAAACAAATTTAACAAAAAAATATCTGTAGGAATTTTTTGAAGAAAACATTTTTCCAGGGTTGCGAGGGAGATTCAGGTAAGATTATAGATATTCTGCATCTCCGCAGATAAGTAATAAATATGAATTTAAATTTTTTTTAAAGTTGAGATCAGTTAATTATTGGCAACCACTTTAGTGCTACCCAATCTAAAAAATCTGCCTAAATTGAGGCACAAAAGAATTAAAATCATAATGAAAAAGTCAATAATTAGCTGATAATAATAAACTCATAGTTCACTAATATAAACTGAATAGTTATAGCAAATATTGATCTTTAAGTAATACATGAACTTTCATTTTACAAAAACTAAATTGTTTCATTATTTACTATATCTTTCACACAGGATATAATAAAAATCATAATTATAGTAGCATATAATGCAAGTATTGTGCACGATTTAATATCTTACAAAATGTCTCCAATGATAAAAGCGAAACTTGCTCCAGGTTTTTGATGTGTGACGTCAAAAACCAACCCAGATACCCACCCTCCTTTTGGAGCACACTACTTTAACATAGAAACATTAAGAAAATTTACCATGTTTCTAATTGAAGGATCAAGTCTAATGATCAGCTACAGAAAAAACAAAAACACATTTAGTTATCTAAGATAAACTACATTAAAAAAACTTACTTAAGACAGGAAAGAAAAAAATTTTATTGACAAATATTCCAAACACAAATTAAACAAAAGCCTTAGCAACTGACATTAAGAAACCAAAATAGATTAACAAAAACAAATAGCTTAAATATATACAGATTCGTCATTACCAAATACATGCATTATTTATATTCTAAGAAAATATATGATCTCCTTCTCCTACCGATTTAAACTTTAAAATTACATATTCATTGCTGTAACAATCATAGCTAAAGAGATAAAATATTACAAAGTTTTAATATTCATACAAAACAGATACTATGAAATCTAACAATATAAATAGTACTCGACAAGTCAAAAAGCAATAGGATAACACGATTCACAGTTAGTAATTAAAAATGTTCAAAATATAATAAAAACTCAAAAAATCTATTAGATTAACAATTAACAGCATACAAATTGCATGTCATAAATGTTTTAAAAACCACATAAGAACAAATGCTAGCATTAGGAGAATGGACAATGGTCAGGAAAGAACGCATATCACTACACTGCACACACTAAAATGGCAGCTTTATTGCTAACAAATCAACGACCTGTGGTTAGCTGTCGAAAATTATGGGATTACTATACAATTGGATTACGTCGACAAATATAATAGAAAAACTTTAAAAATATAAATTTTTAATGATCATAGTCATTTATACAGTAAAAAAAGGAGTACAAAACAAGAAACAGCAACTACGTAAAGGACAAAAGCACTCAAGTGTACTAATATATGTAACACAAACTATAAATACAAATAAATCAATCTGCATGCATGAATCAAAATTATAAATATTTTTAGTTCATATACAATAGGACTTTGCGAAAAAAAATAATGTGTCAGCTAGTAAACATCCCTATCACGAAAATTAACATAAACAATTGAGCATTAATAATAATAAAACTATATACAAATTAGCATCAAAATAAAATGGTATGAAAAAATGATAACCAAGAAAATCAGAACATTTAATTTTGAAAAATGCACAATTTGCGCACAAAAGTTTAAAAATCATACAATTTGAAATGCCAAAACATGGTTTTAATATGGGATCCTTCATCCAAAAAGAAAAAGAAAAAAAAAAAAATCAAAAACTTGCATGACTTTTTATAAATAAAAAATGCAGCAAATCTCTGCAGAGTATCTTATTACAGAAATGTAGCCCACACTTCTAAATCAAACAATCCAACATAGCTTGAAAATCATGACTGTCACTGGATTTTCTTGATACGTGCAATTATTGTTCATAGGATACCCACTTAGCAAGTCCGCTTTCTACCAAAGCCTGGTTAATGAAAGTATTCTATAAAAAAAAATTGTTTGTAAGTTTGTTTTGCAGAAAAAAAGATATATACAAACATTTCTTCAATTCTAAGAGAAAGTATTACGTAAATGAAATAATTTTAATTAAATATGCTCATTTTATTACAGCTTTTGAAAAATAATCGCACTTAGAATGCTATAAGCATTTCCTTTTAAACAAATTGTAGTCTTAAAGATTTAATTTCTTTCCTCAAGAGATTTTGGTTCAAGATTCTTTCTTTGTGTTTAGGTCAAAACTTATTTTATTCTTTTACAATACAAAAGAACTTCCAGAAATGCCATAAAAAATTATAAATTTTTTAAAAAAAATTTTGGATAATAATTTTTGCATGAATATTTTTAAAAACATTGACATAAATTACTAATTATTTGCTTTAAATGTTAAATTAGAGTTGAAAAATTTGAAAAAGCAATTGTCAGATATAAAGTGAGAATTCTTTTTTGCTTTTGCTAAGTATTTTATTTAATGCTTATAGATTAAAAAAAAAAAATAATAATAAATAACTTTAATTAAAAGTAATGATGTTGAAATCATGCAAAATATGTCATTTTATGAACAAAATGTTTGATTTTGCATTACAATTAACTCAACTACTATTATGTATCTGATACTTAAGGAATCAGGTTTTTGTCACTCATACTCTATTGTATTTGCATCAGTTAGTAACTAATACTAAAATAATTGCACCCATCTCTAATGCAGTGTATAATATTTAACATATATTTACACTCCTAACATTAAATTTTTTAATTACAACACTCTTAGAAAGCAAAAACTAACCACAAAACTTCCATTTAACTGGAAAAATAAAAACCAATACACAATCACCATCTTTATCAATTCAGTTACAAAATTCTGATTAGCTTTTAAATATATCAGAAAATAAACCTTAAGATGTTAAGACGAATAAAAGTATTTTTGACATAGACTAATTTATGAACTTTAATAATTTAGTAATATTACTCATAATGAGTATATGATAGCAAACGGCCTTTTATCTCTACAGTACTCAATACCTAACAAATTTAGATTATCATTAAGTTGCCAGCCTTGTTACCAAGGCAACATCAAGTTTTACGTTATTACCTTGATAACAAGTGTGGCAACTTAGGATAGGCAATAACAAAACCTGCTAATACTTGGCACACCTTTGAATATCACTATAACTTTTTAATGTACAACTCAGATTCATTCTTTTTTCAATAACAAAAAGAGCTATATTTAAATGTTTTTAATAAAATTACTTACTGTAGCACCAGTGACTTTGTACAAATGAAGACAAGGAATACCATCGTCTGCAATTCCGGCAACATATGCGGATAAAATCTGACCTTGTGCCAAATTTTCAAAAGAAATTTTGGATTCTTCAGTCCACCCAAGTTCCTCTGAAAATGAAAATTAGGCAAATTAATAAGCATTTAGAACAGCACTCAACAGTCACATTAGCCAAAATTAACTGCAATGTAGATAAAGTAAATCTTAATATTAAAAAACTCAAAAATGAAATGTGTTAATAAGATTATCACTTAGTTCTAAGGTAATTCATAAAAAAAATCTCAGGGGGACATTTAAAATATAAGGCTATTCTTTTTTAGTTGTAGCTAAACAAACAATCAAAACTAATTATTATGGTTTAGCACTCTGATAGAAATAACAAACCAAGAAAAAAAAATTAATAAATTTGAATTCAACTTAAGAGCAGCAGTTTATGTAAAATTGTTTATAAATGCCTGGTACATGTGTTTTTTTTCCCATGTGTTTTCTGTCCTCATATTGATGAAAATTTCCTTGAAACTTATGAACTAAATAAATTATCAACTAACTTATTATCATTTTGTAAACGGTAGGTCCATCTATTTTGTTAATATTTGTTAACGTTAATGCATATGATTAAAGTATTTAAACTTGTTCTTACAGATTTTTAAGTTTTCAATGCAATTATATGTTTTAAATAAAATGAACAGAAAATTTCAAAAATTGGTTTATCATTTGCAATAACAGCTTTAGTTACATTACATTAAACTAATATTTTTTTAAACTTGAGAAGGAAAAAAAAAAAGATAATTACCATGACATGTAACATTAGCCAAATAACATTCAATGGCTTGGAATGGCATCTGCATAAATTCAAAGCTGTAACAGAAAAATAAAAAATTCTTAATTAAAACTGAAAGACATTAACATAACAGTATTTAAAATTATAATTATCATGAATGGATTTTTGCCACAATTAGTTTGCAACAAGTGGGGAAAATGAGATTTTTTAATGATGTAACATTAAGACTATAAAAATTCTAATTAAAGACTTAAAATCTATAAGTAATTGGATAATGAAAAAAAAAAGTTTTTTTCCCCCTCCATCCATCCAGAGCAATGAATCTCTGTTAACATTGTTTCAACAAGCCATAATAAAACAAAGGACAAACTAGTACAATGTTGTATATGTAAAAAGAAATTGCAGTAAGTCCAAGTATTCCTTTTTGTTGTTCATGCTATTAAAATCGCAAAAGAATTCACATGATATCAATAAAAAAAAAAATCGCATTACGATAAATTTTAAGAACTGTTTATGTTCTGCTATTTATGCCCTACATTTTTTTAACAAAGAAATTTCATAATCTTTATTATGTATTCAAACCAAAATTAATAAAGAATTTACAAGTATCTAAAATACTTAATTAAAAAGAAATATTTTATTACAAACTTACTTTATTTGTCTCAAAGTAGAGGTAGGTACTATTTGATATCCTCCATAGTCTAGATATTTTAGTTTGCATGTATCGTCCTCAGTAAAAACTTCCATAATTTCTGCTCTAAACCATCCATCAGCAACAGGAGAAACAACAATATTACCTACAAAGATAATAGATCAGTATCTAGGCACAACTTTGGAACAAAATAAAATACTAATGCTGTGAAATCATTAGAACAATAAAAAAATTCCAGATAGTACCAGTGCGCAGCCAAATCTTTCAACAAAAAATATGCACCCTTTAAGTACGTTTTAAGCACCCAAAAATATTTCTTAAGCACTATGCACATTAACAAAATGCAAAATAATTTTCAAAGACTTTACATGACCATTATAAAATAACTAGAATTTGACAAAGAACTCCTTTTTTTGATTATATTAGCCATTAAAAAATGATCAAGAGATTTTTTCGGTTCGATTTCAGAGAGTGGAAAATGCTTGAAATGGAGAATATCTTGCAAAATGAAGCAGAGTTGCACATGAGAGTGCAAGAATCCCACTGAACCCAGCTCATTAGATACACATGCAGACTTAAAAGTATCTCACCAAACCTGTACATGGGTGCAAGTTGGAAAAAAGGCCAAGACTGAAAATTTTTTGACTGAAATACCTAACATACACAATACCCCCTCGACATATGCAAACTATCTAAGAAAGCTTTACCATAATACATCAAGTTTAAATACTGTACAAAAAATATTTATTATTCTATCTTTTGATAAAATAACAACAGGACATAAGAAAGTAGACCAATAACGCAGACCTAAAACATATTTTTAAGAACAGAAGAAGAAAAAAAATTCCGATTTCCGTCTTCGAGTCATCTTGTTTCCGTTCGCGGACATTTTCGAAAGACGGAAATCCGTCCTAGGGACGGAAGATTTGCACCCATGAACCTGTAGAATGATTGGAGTTTTCATGCACTATGGACTGTCAGTACGCTGAAATTGATTGTTGTTGAATGAATTCTGAAAATGTGAAGGGAAAATTAAGCACTTTTTAAAAATACCCAATAAAAAAAGCACACTTAAAAAAATAAATTAAAAAAAAAAAAAACGCTACGCACCGTGCATAATTTAAAATTAAATTATTTACTAATTTCAACTTAAGATTAAAAAGTTCAATACACCTTAAATATTAGATCGTAACAATGAGACCATTAGCTCATAAGATTTTTGGGACTTCGGCATATGATTATCTGAAAATTGAGATTGATTCACACTTAGCCTATTTTCAGTTAAAGTTACACTCTCTGTACTTAGCAGGTTATAAAGAAATAAAATACTTACCAACAGTTGGTGAAGTTACAACTGGAGCATGACAATGAGTGTACATAGATGCCATGGACAATGTGAATGGCGGCAATGCATGATAAGATGGATGGGTGGGCAGTTGAACAAAGAAATGAGCAGCATTCACTGTTGCACTCAACACAACTTGAAATTCAACAGCCTCAGGAGGAGACAGTTTTAAGGTAGGTGGGCAAACTAGAACGTGATTAGAGCGCTCTAATGTTACATCAGGATATATAGCAAGAGGAAATCTTTTTCGAATAAGCTTCAGTGCTTCATTTATAGAAGCTTCGTCACCTTGAGAGAAAGAATAATCATGTTAGTATAAAAATTTTGAAGTTCCTTTGCATAGTTTAATAAATCAAGTAAATATTTTTTTTTTTTTAAATAACTGGCATATGATTTAGAATTTAAAACTATCTCACATGTTCATGTATTAAAAAACTTTTATAAGATGTTTTCTCACGCTTTCAATACTTAACTGTCCACAAATCATTTGAACACTAATTTTTAAAATGAATAGTAATAGATATTAAAGATTTTTTTAAAATCTATATTATGCCATAATATTTAAAAAAAAAAAACCTATAATCTTTTAAAGATTTCTTGCGTCCAAACCAAATTACATAACAGGGTTGCCACTCAAATCTGGGAAAAAAATTTCCTGTGTTTTCCCTGTACATGTTATATGCAATATATTAAGAGGAAACAACAACTACTACGCTCTCGTGTGAGCTATATTGGGCTAACTATATTTATTAGTTTCAATTGCTGGAAAAACAGCTGAACACACTTAAATAATGCTATGTTAAATGAAATAGTTTAGCATAGCTGAAGTATCATGGTTAAACATCCCATAGATTACGCTTTGAGTGGTCGTCACCATTTTTTAAAAGACCAAAATAAAATAAAAAATTCCCTGCATTTTCCCTGTTATTTTAGGTGATTTTTAAATTCTCTGTATTTTCCAGGTTTTCCCTATTCTCCCTGTGGAGTGGCAACCCTGCATAATACAGAATCACAACTATAATTACGAGAAGTAAAAAGTAACATACAGACTTTCAAAATATGAGCTATAATGCAAAACAAATTAATATGATCATTTGAAAAGTTTCAGATATTTTGTTTTAAAATTAACTTAAATCCTTTTTATGTTTACAAACTGACTACTTATTGCTTTACAGCTCTATCTGAAAAATGACAGTTAATTTGAAATAAATAAATGCATAGTAAAAAAATACTGTTTTCAGAAGCATTCAGATGAAAGAGAATTGTATAAGATTCTTTACAGGGTAACTGCTACATTTTAGATTTTCAAATTCATGACTTTCCACGACTAATTCCAAGAATTTTTCATGACTTTATGAAGTTACTATTTTCTCAGACAAAAACACAATAGTAAATTTAAAAAGCATCATAATAACATTAATTGAAATTATAGGTGTAACCAAAACCGTTATACTCTGCATCTTCATATTTATAGATTTTAAATTTAAAAAACTGAGAAAATAAAGATTTGAAGCAATAAAATAGGTCAAAAGTAATTTTTCTTCTTTTTTCCGCAGAATTATATTCTAAAGATACTTTTCTTGTTCAAGGGAAAGGAAAGAAATACTTCTGATTTTACAGTTCTCATTTCGGAATAAAAATAATTTGCCAATGACTGGCTTGCTTCAGCTAGAATTTTAAATTGATAAAATAAAAATTCTGAAATCACAGAAGTTTAAAAGGTAATTTGCTCTAGAAATGACATTTTTTTTCCCCCTCTTTCATTTTTTGAAAGAACACAATTTTTAAAGAGCATGATAAAAAAATTTTATATTTTAAAAAATTTGACTAAGTGGGGAGTTTGTACAAATTCAGATATTCAGGGCACCAAGAAATTGGGGGATGGGTAAATTCCAGTCGAATAATTAGATTTTTTGGCGACCTAAATTCATGACTTTCCATTACTTTTTTTACAAAAATAGTTAAAATCATGACAAATTTCGTTCAACACCAAAATTCATGACTTTCCAGGTGCGCAAATACACTGCCTTTAGTTCTGAATTTCTTACAAGAGAAAAAAAAAATTATTGCACCAAATTGTAAAGAAGAACTTACTTGCAATAATAGATACAATTTTCTTTTCATTGTTAAAAGGGGAGAGGGCATTGCGAATCCAAATCAAAGCATTTGTTTTTTCTTTGATGTAGTTGACATGGCTGCCTCTCTTACCAATCAAATAGCCACAATGATCTGAATGAAGATCAAACTCATAGGTCATAGAACAAGGTTGGGAGTCAAAACCGAATTGAAGTTCACTTCCTCCTCTTCCGCTATCATTAGAGCCCTGCAAAATAAACAACATTTAGAAATTCACAATATCAGCTTATGCAAATTTCTTTACTGAGATAAAATTAACGAACATTCGATTCATTGATCGACTAAGTGTTCTCTCGAAGCGTTTCTTGAAAGCAGCCTGCTTTTTGATCACTGTAAATGCGCCTTTTTTCCTCTTTTTTTTGCAAAAACAAACCACCATCCCTTGAAAACACTACCCTTTTTTCATATTCCATTTATAAAATTTTTTTTAACAAAATCAGTTTAAATAATACAGGGTGCATAGCCAAATCTGTCAACAAAAAATAAGTACCCTTTTAAGCACTCAAAAGATATTTTTAAGCCCTATATACATTAACAAAATGCAAAATAATTCTAAAAGACTTGACATAATCATGTTAAAATAACTAGTTTCTAACAAAGAAGACTTTTCTTGATTATACAGTACAGAACCCGTTATCCGGAAAACCAAAAAACCGGAACGAAATTTGATAAATTTTCCCGCCATTTCTTTTTCCCTCGTAAGATTTTTTTTTTTTTTTTTGAAAGATGTTTACCTTACCATCATTTTGGAAATAATCATTAGTGTATTACTATTCGTTTTTTCTTTTTTAGATTACCAAATATTTTTTAGTTGGGTTTAACAATAAAAAAACTGCTTTTTGTCGAGATTCAGAAAACCAGAAAAATCAATTATCCGGAATAGCGATGGTCCCGGATAATCGGTTCCTTACTGTATTAGCCAAGATAAAAAGATCGAAAGATATTTCGGTTCGATTTCAGACGGTGGAAAATGAAGCCTGGAATCGAGAATATCTTGCAAAATGCCACAAAATGGCACACGCGAGTGCTAGAATCTCACTGAACCCAGCCCAGTAGACGCACATGTGGACTCGCAAGTACTTCATCAAACATGTAGAATGATGGGCGCTTCCATACGCTATGGATGGATACAGGACACCAACATGGATTGTGGTTGAATGAATTGTGAAAACGTTGAATAGAACAATATGAAAAGCACGCTTTTGCATAATACACGACGAAAATCAACATGGTAAAGAAAAAAATTTCATTTTCGTTTTTAAAACCGCTACGCACCATGCAATAACACACTGATAAAATTATCCGTGTTTATAGGTTCAATGCTAATATTACAAACATTTACCTTGTTCAGACTATTCCCAACTGGTTAAATTTTTACAAGTTTCTCTTTCCTCGGAGAGGTGGTATACTAATGAATTTAAGAAATTTTAAAAATACTTTTTAAATACCCTTTTTAAAAATGCACCCTCAAATGTTTATTTTCTCATAATTTTCAGTTTTAACTATCCAAAAAATCTTGCCTATGAATTAATCATTTTCTTTTAGTTTACTAGTTGAAAAAAAGATCCTCTTTTAGTATGCCATTAATAATTTTTTACAAACTACGAATTTATCTCTTATTTTGATTATGAATGAGAATTACTTTTTGAAATAAACACTTAAAATATTTTACAAGGGTAATTAAAATTTTTTTAGAAATCTGTTAATCTGAAATCTTTAAATCTGTTAATTTAGCTCAGTTTTTACGCATTGATACATATGTACAGTGGAAGGTGAGTGCCATACCTTCTTTTTTTTAAAAATTTATTCCCAGAGAGAACTCTGGATATACTTTTGCAAAACTGGAATGTTTTTGGTTGTCTGAAAAGTTAGTGCAGATACATACACTATTTAGTACAATAGAATTGCATGTTGCTAAACCATATTTTTAAATACTTTAAATATTGGATATTTGATAAATTTTAATTTGAAAAAAATATTAAATATCAAATCCAATCATACCAAAGAAAAAGCTAACTAAATTCATAATGTTACTTACTCACATGACCTTTTAACATATTGACACATGCAAAGTTAATCAGTTCGGACCCTAAATACAATACAGATAAAAAGCTACCTCTTCAATTGCTTTTAAATTTCACATTTTTTCTGTTACATATCAAATTATAATATATTTAAAACTTGATAAAAAGCAGGAAGTCAGGCTGTGCTCGAGCTTTCTATAAAAAAATGCTTTTTTTGGAAATATTTCAAGGATGTAAATTTTTAAAAAACATTAGAATGTAGTTTTTCTAAATGTCATACAATATACAATGCCTGAAAGTAGCAAGGGCTAAGCAAATAAACTTTTAGAAACAAGTAATGATATAGAAATTCACCCCTATTATTAGCATCATTTAAATTGATTAATTTTGTTAACAAAACTTACTTTAATTCAGACTTATTTTCACCTCATTTATTAAGCTACAAAATTTGGTTAAAAAACATACTTTGAATAAACTTCCACTTTATTTTTAGATGGATTATGATCCCTGACCCCTATAATATATGGGGAAGCAACAATTGGCAAAATATGGTAACTATAGCTAGACGAAGAAAGCAGCAGAAAATCTGAACCTATCAATGTTAATTGTACTGAGTAGGTACTTCACCATATCTTGAGAGCCTTTTAAATGTAATGAAATTTCTTCGCGCATATTTATTATTTTAAATTTTTTTACCATTTTGAAGAACTTAATTTCACAAGTCAAAGAACATAAATTTTTTTTTAAAATTATATACATTAAAAAAATATCATCTAATCCTTTATTTTTCAAATTAATTTATTTCTATATGATCAATGCCTATCACATACATTAATACTGAGTTTAATAATTTAAATTTTTTAAAGTAATTCACAATATATTTCCTTTAGCAATTTTGGTTCGAAAACAAAATTAAATAAAAATAAGTTTGTGAACAGCCCCATATATTTCACAATTTTGAAACAAATCGTTAAATCTATGGAAGTAATACTGACTAAAAACGTTAATAACCCTTAAATGTAAAAAACGTCAATTTTCCACAAAAAAATAATAAAAAAAAGAGAAATTAAAGAAATTTGTCAAAAAGGAAAGAACACCCAAAATAATTACACCCTAAGCGAGATAGGAGCGCAACTAAAAATAACTCCTCAGGTAAAAGGGGTGAAGAAAAAATAAATAAGAAGGTAGAGAAAAACCGCAACCGTTTACTTAGGTGACGTTTGACAAGACAACGACCTTTTCTTTTTTAAATTAGAAAAAAAAAGCATCACAAGGAAATAAAGGTTTTAAAGCGCATTGTGCGATGTCACTTATATGCAAAACAAAATAACTTTTAAACTAGAACATATCGGGGTTGCCTTAATTTGCATAAAAGCGGTTTGCAACACTAATATTTTACACAATTTTCTTTAGCTGCAAGCAATCTTTTTGATAATCACGTATAATTAAAAGCCTAAATTACAAATTAGAATTAAACTATTCATTTCACCATCTATATTTGATATGGCCTTTGACAGAAACAATTAGTAATTGCTAGTTAAGTTTGATATTTCATATTTTAAAATTAGCATATTTAGGTCACACTTAACTAATTATTACAGTTAAGGTTTTAAAGTAATGTTAGTTAGGGTGTTTTTCTACAGTTTATTATTTTTGTTAGAAAAAAACGAAACTACGCAATTTCTAAAGTCGAGCTGTAAGATATGTCTTTTCGAACAATTTAAGGGGGGGGGGGCGAAGGTCCTTCGATGAATTCCGAGAAGAGCGAAGTGTACGCTAAAATAGTATTTAAATACTAATAGAAATAACAAAATTTTTGATAAAAAAATTTTTTGCGCAGGTCAGCTTTATATACAAAAGCTTATTATACAAAAATGCTAAATGATCTCAATTCCGAATTTAAGGAATTTTATTTTGAATTTTTGATGGCATTCAGTATAGTATTTCCGGCCAGGTATTCAGTACTCGGACCCGGTTAAAATATTTAACTATACGGTCAATTTTTAGAGAGTATCCCAGAGCCGAGTAGATCATTATTTAAAAAATTTAGATTTAATTACCACTAACTTTTGTCTTTTATATTTATGAAGAAAGTCAGTTTTATGCCCAACGGATGCTCTCACACTTGAATGTTTTTTAACTCCATTCGCACGATTTATTTCAAACACTCCTTAATATAATATGCATAAACTTTTTAAAGTTGGTTATGAATAGTTGCAATAATATCTCATCTCTATAAAACGAAATTCTCCATCTGAAATCTTGTTAAGACTTAACTGCAATAAGCATATAAAATTACCTACTCTTTCTATTTAATATTTTTCAATTTTTTTGTTAAACCAAATTTGCTCTTACACTATATAATCTTTATATTGAAGTTCCAAGTAAATAATCAGGAATTTACGTAATAATTTTACAGGTTTCAATCTTAACTATGAATATATCTCTGCTAGGTAAGTAAACCCTTAAGAGCTGGTGATTAATAGTCAGGCAGAAAATAGATTGCAAAGCTGAAATAAAATTTACTAGAAAACAATTCATTACGTTTAACTTATTACGTTAACCGAAGCGACACGGCGATATTGTCGCAGAACGCTATAGAGTTCTTGCAGAAAGATTTCTCTTTTCGAAAAAAATAAAAAAAAAATTATTCAAAAATTTATACTTAATATTTGAATCATACATTTAAGTAATAACTTTTTGAAGCGTTCAATTTACCCCGATAGTATCGTAAATCGATGTAATGTTTCGATTGTACTTTCGGTAGTTATTGATATTGATTTTCAAGTGGATTTTAAATATCCCGATATATTTCAAACAATATAGAAAATTCATTTGAATATCTACCTTTTAAGGCAATAATTTTATCGAATTTTTGGCAGTTATTGCTTCTTAGTTTCAAAATCCAATAATCTCGAAGAGAAACAAGCATTCGAGGACTCCGATTCGCGTGATTTCGTAGTCAACCTTTTTTTTTTTTTTTAATTACTACTACGGATTCCATGATTTTTAATTATTTTTTTTATTATGATGATTATTTACAAAATGCGAAGAAGGAAATAGTTCGAGCGTCCCCCTCCCAACAAAATGAGAGAATATCACCCATATCAGAATAAAGAATTCTTACACGTTCAATTATTAAAAAAACTTTTATTGTAAACAC